GCAAACTTTAGGTGTAGACTCAGCGTAGTCTCACTCAGTATAGACAGTCGTCATTGGTTGTTTTCTTAATCTGAATGCGGGATTTTGTTTCAAGATTTCGGTAAAATTAATGCGCAGATCATTTTCAAATTTTTCGAACGAAATATTAAATCGATCTCTTTGAACCTTATCCAGTTATCCAAATCTATCATTTTCGCCATTTTGATAGAGGATTACTTAGTAATCTGTGAAATTAGTTTTAGTTTTAGAGTATGTAGTTATATACGCAAAATTAAAATAGTAGTGTTAATTATACTACCAGGACAAGTTGTAGTACCATTTATTAGTCTCCTAGCTCATAAATTCACGTAAACATTATAGAAGTACAGTCAGCAGGTGCGTTCGGTAATTGCTTACTCAGTGATATTATTGAGTGACGTAATTATCACAATTATGCAGATATGTAGAGTAAGTGGTATCTGTTTTCTCCCTTAACAGTTGAATGTTGTCATGTTTTAAAATTCTGCTTAGTTTATTTACTTAATTTTACTGTTTTCTCCCTTAACAGTTGTCATGTTTTAAAATTCTGCTTAGTTTATTTACTTAATTTTACTGTTTTCTCCCTTAACAGTTGTCATGTTTTAAAATTCTGCTTAGTTTATTTACTTAATTTTACTGTTTTCTCCCTTAACAGTTGTCATGTTTTAAAATTCTGTTTAGTTTATTTACTTAATTTAAGTCTCAAATACTGACCTACTCGGTGTTCTAAGCGATTCAGACTGAATTTCAGAGTGTGTCGGTACCGGCCATGATGACTTTTTAAATAATTAGATTTTGATGGCCTTTTTCCCGACATTAATATACTTTTTTAAGCTTGATTTTGACCTATTTTTAGTATGTTACTATATTAGCCCTGCATATTCGTCCTATGTCAAAAAAAATCCAGACTATACTGCTAATACTTTCTCCGCTCTTGACTCCATCTGTATCAGACTACGTCAAAAGGGAGAGGTTATCATGTGTGGCGATGCAAATGCAAGAACTGGAAAACTCCCAGACTATATCCTCTCTTGTAATGCACCTGCCATGCATGACATTTACAATGACATTGGACTTGAACATGACATCGAAGAACCCAGAAACAACTCTGACCTGACTATATCTGAACCCCACTGCCAACATTTTCTTGACATGGTTATTAATAACCAACTCAAAATTCTTAATGGCCGTACCCTCGGGGACACCACTGGAAAAATGACCTGTCACAAATACAATGGGAGCAGTGTGGTTGACTATTTCGTAATCACCTCATGGGCAAGGGATCATGTAAACTCTCTCCAAGTGAAGGAGTTTACATCATACTCTGACCATTGTCCATTAGTCTTGAAACTTACCACATTTGAACCATTTGTTGCCAACTTCCAGCTCCCAGACTTTTCTAATTTTCCTTGTGGCTATAAGTGGGACAGCAACACCTCTCACTCTCTATTTAAAACAGCCCTTAACTCGCCCGAAATTGTTAGTAACCTGGAAAACATTGCAGCAAACGAATTTAGCAGCACCTTGGAGGGCAATCATGAACTGAACGATGCAATTACTAACTGTCTCCACAGTGCTGCTGATATAGCGTTAAAAGTGAAAAAACCTCCTAAAACTTCCGCCCACAAGAAATGGTTTGACCCACAAATCAACTCCTCGAGGCGAAACCTGAATAGGCTAGCAAACCGGCTAGGTAGTAAGCACTGCAACAATATTCTCAGACGTGAATATTACAAGCAGCGCAATAAGCACAGTAATCTTGTTAACAGTAAGAAATTATCTTTTCTTAGGAAGTTAAATGAAGCTATTGAAGAGGGTCATATTCTTGACTGGAAAAAATTTAAAAGGCTTAAACAAGAACATGACACTAGCCCCCTACTAGACAAATTCGATCTAGCTAGCTTTCATGATTTCTTTGCATCCCTCTATAAGAAACCAGACCAGGAGCCCGATCCCACTCACCACAATCACAATCATTACCCTGAACCACCAGATCTGGATATCCTAAACAAGCTCATATCTGAACCCGAACTAACTTCTGCAATCAAAAAGCTCAAAAAGGGTAAAAGTTGCTCAAATGACTTGATCTCAAACGAAATGCTTCAGAGCCTAACTCCGCTTTGTCTCCAAGTCATCCTCAAAACGTTCAACCACTCTCTGGTCTCAGGTTACTATCCATGGCATACCAGTATTATCACTCCTATCTACAAATCAGGCAACCCCTTCAGCCCAGACAATTACAGAGCAATAGCAGTTGGCAGTTGTATGGGTAAGCTGTTCTCTAGCATTTTACTTGAACGTCTGTTATACTTCAAAAAGCTCTACTGTCCTGATCCAAAAGAACAGCTCGGTTTCTCGAAGGGTGCTCAAACTAATGATCACGTTTTCACCCTTAAGACAGTCATTGATAAATACACTAAAGTTAAAAAAGTTCGTCTCTATGCATGCTTTGTTGATCTAAGAAAGGCCTTTGACACTGTATGTAGGGACCTTCTTCTGCACAAAATAACATGCCTTGGAATTACCGGTAACTTCTTTAACTGCTTAAGTGATATGTACAAAAACTCAATTGCTCATATAAAAATCTCCAAACTCTTGTCCCCTAAAATTGATATTGGCAAAGGAACGGAGCAAGGACACCCCCTATCACCAGACCTTTTTAAAATCTATATTAATAACTTGTCATCTCTTCTGAAATCTGTTGGTGATTATCCAGTTCTTGCTGACGTTCTAATATCACATCTGCTCTGGGCTGACGATCTTGTCCTTCTTGCTCTAAGTCCCAAGGCCTTGCAAGTCAATATCAACATTCTATCTGACTTCTGTAACTCCATGGGCCTTGAAGTAAATATAAAGAAAACTAAGATTGTCATATTCAGCCCTCCCAAAAAGAAGCAGTCCCATGAAACATTTACATTGGGAGGTCAGCCCATCCAGCACACCGAAAAGTACTGCTATCTTGGCATAATATTCCACAGAAATGGATCCTTTACGGCAGCAAATACTGAGCTGAGGGCCAAAGCTCTCCGTGCTCTATATGGCCTTAAAGGCAATATAGTTAAAGATGCCCTCTCTCACCGTGCCCTTAATATTCTATTTGATTCCTTAATCAAACCAATCCTGCTTTATGGCTGTCAAGTCTTATGCCCCCACTCTAAAACAATGAGATACCTTTCAAAAATAGATGACAAAGCCAGCCCCCAGCATACCCTGAAGTACATTGCACAGGACCACTATGAGAAATTCCACCTAAAATTTATCAAGTGGTCTTTGTCCGTCCATTCAAAAGCATCAAATATAGGTTGCTGGGGCGAAAGTGGGCGCCACCCCCTATTCTTTGAAGCCTGCAAACTTGCAATAGATTACTATAGTCGCCTTGAAAGCACCGAAAATGAACTACTTTGTGCTGCATTTCATGAGCAGATCATGCTGGGCCTTCCTTGGTATACCAACATCTCAAAGCTTCTCACCAAATACAACTTCCCCCACTCATCTTCATCAAAATCTAAGCTCTCCACCCAAATCAGTCATAATATGAGGGAAGAATTCGTGAATACCTGGAAATCTGCCAAGGCCTCCTCACCAAAACTAGAATTCTATAACTTAATTAAACATGATTTTGAACCAGAGGCATACCTACGAATAATCAAAGTACCTGATTTTCGAAAAAGCTTGACAAGGTTTCGTATCAGCTGCCACAACCTCTACGTTGAAAGGGGCAGATACGAAACCCCTCTTGTACCAAGAGAAGAACGTTGGTGCACTTACTGCTTTTTCAGTAAAGGGCTCAAACCTATCGAGGACGAAAGCCATGTATTAATTGACTGTTTGCTTTACTCCTCAGTTAGGGAAAAATTCAACTTTTATCCCCAAAACATCACTGACCTAGCCGGTCTGCTCTCCAACAAAAATCTAGATCCTACCAAATTTACTGCCACAGCAAGAGCAATCCATTCAATTCTCTCTGTGAACGAACAATATACAGCCTATTATAAGAGCCCAGATTTCCACTCAAATACTGGCAAGTGCATAATGCTCTAGGAACTCAAAATAAACTCATGAACCATACAAATTTGATTTACTTAAAGAAAATAGCATTATATTATAACATTTCTATTTTATCCCTACACATTTGTAAATGATTAGAAGTGTGTAACTTAAATTATTTCAGAATTATAACTATTGTGAACTCAATAAAATAATTATCACTTTTGTATCCTTGTATCCTTGTATCCTATACCATTTTTCTCAGTATTTTCGCAGTTCTGTACTGTACCACGAGTAAGATTAGAGGATCCTCGTCAGCCATTTTCTATTTTGATCTTAACCTATTATTTTACATAGGTAAATATTCTCATCCCAATTACTCTTCACAACAATATAATTACTAACTACAGTAAACTGCTTTTACTATAGATTAGTCTATAATTATACAGTGCTCAGTAGTCCCACATTCCCACATGTAATTACACAATAGTCCCACTTGCTGATGTGTATAAAGTTGCCATTATAGCCTAGGATATACACAATGTTATCTTTCATAATACATAAGATATGTAGCTCACAAGAACAGACCCTACCTAGTGTCATGTACTTGCGATCAATGACTTAGCGTGTAGATGTATAATAAGCGCCAAGCGGCTATTGTATAATTTGGTGGTGTTAGTTTTGTTAGTGTTGTTTTATTCACAGTACGTGATTCGATAATTGATGGTTTTAGATATACTTAGATTTGTTTTTTGCACAGCAGGTATTAATTAAGGTGAGATTATGATGGATTCATTATCTGTAGCCGTTACGTTGTATCACGTTTTGGCTCATAACCCAGCCATGTTGTTCCTATACTTTGTAACTCGCCATGTCCTGACCGCTGGTCTGTCATTTATAAATCCATATTTCCAAACATTTTATACAGCCCTATATCATGTTACAGCTACCAAATTGTTTTCTCAAATTATCCTATCTTAACCCTGTATCTGTTCAGGAAGGACTGTTTACATGTGATATAACCTCCACACTCAAGGAGGGAAGATAACCAGGACCCTCACACAGCCCTCTAAACCTAACAAACACTCTAGTCACGTGTCATGTGACATGTCACTAAAAATAAAACGCGGAACTCATGGCAACAATGCACGATCTAGTATTAGACGTTCCATTAGAAAGAAGTTGAAGTAAGTTAGTTTGATGTGATTGATAGGGTGATATTCTTAGTCAGGGATGATATTGTATCTAAGGGCGGAGATTTCACTCAGTATTTGATCCGATCTAGTTCATTCTTGAATACATACTTATAGTGCGCGACACATTAAGATATATCCCCGTATTTTATGTATGCTAAAAAATAATATATTATTTACATGAACCTCCCGCAGGAAAAACACTCACCAGAGGTTAAAAGACCCCACAAGATTTGACGCTCCCGATTCCGACGAAGAAGCATGGGTTGATGAACTTTTTATTAAACGTGCTACCATTATAGGTACCTGCCACCTATTTTAAAACGTTACAGTGCCGTTAGACTGTTTCCAAAAGAGTTGTTTTGTCGACAGTTGCCAGTCACTTAGCTAATTAATTATGTTATAATTAATTAGCTGATTAGTAAGTAATGTTTGTTGATTTCAGAGGTCACTAGACGGGTGAGGAACAATTTATTTCGTTCGAGAGAATATGTTTACAAAATACACATTCAGTGGAACATTGGGAAAACAACTGCCGTGTACAGAAGCTATGATAACTTCTTCACGTGAGTTCTAAATATAACGGCATAGTTACTGGTGACGTCATAGTAACGTCATAGTAATGTCGTAGTAACGTCGTAGTAACGTCATAGTAACGTCATAGTAATGTCGTAGTAACGTCGTAGTAACGTTATAGTAACGTCATAGTAACGTCGTAGTAACGTTGGGTTAACTCATAGGATCTCTTGATAATGTCATGTGATAATATACGTCACATCCCAAGCTATTCAGTTCCTAAAATAACGAATGTTCAGGATGCAGATGCGACTTCTAGACTTCTTTGGAGAAGATCCGGACTCACCGGACAGAAGCATTCCCGTTTTACCAGGTTTGTTAAATGTAATATACTGCGCTCTGATTGGTTTGTTTGTGTCACGTGGTGTTAATACTGCACGTGGTGTAATATACAGTGCTCTGATTGGTTTGTTTGTGTCACGTGGTGTTAATACTGCACGTGGTGTTAATACTGCGCTCTGATTGGTTGGTTTGTGTCACGTGGTGTGGATACAGTTTAATAAACAACGGAATAGTGTTTATTATTAACGGTCAAAAACAATTCAACTGGAGGCCTTAAACTCAGAATTATTTCAAACTATTTTGCAAATTCCATTAATAATTTGTTTGCTAATCTTTCTGTCGTCACATCAAGCAAAGTATTAAAGATTGTAAGCCCGAAAGTGAAAGTTAAATAAATAAAAAGTGACACCTCTAGGTCGAGCAATATGGACGTGGGGCACGAGAAACTTGGCGATGAAAGACCAGCCAAGAATACAAGCTTATATTGATGAACTTCTGGATCTGCCCTACAAAATATCTCGGTGCAATCTTGTCTTAGGTAAATGTCTCGTACTGATTTGAATTAATATTATCATTATAGGACTCATTGTTAAAGCTTGTTGAGAGTAGCTAGTTCTCTAACTCTAAGTTATCTTTGTAACTTATTACATTAACAGCGACCGTCTTCTTTCAGATTTCTTCAGATTCAAGGAAACTGATCCAAAAGAGGTAATGGTGACTCTGCCGCAAGAACTTTATCGACCTCCACAGAATGAAAACATTCTAAAACGCAGTTTTAGGAGATCTTTCAGGTGAGCATACTTTCACTGCTGAGCCCAACGGGTTTCACAGGGTTGTTTTTTGGAGGAGATAACTCAATAACCATACAGTATTCCCCGCTACCAGACACTGAATGGGAGTCACAAATTCCATAGTTAATACTTAATATGCAAAACATTACACATTAGGGATGAACAATATAAGAAATATCTGGTAAAATCGGGATTGTCAAATGAGAGTTTCAAGTCCGTGGGATCGTGTTTCAAAAAATAGTGTTCCTCAAGAAAGACCAGTGTTAAACTCATGATTTCTCTACAGGAAAGTTAAGAAAACATTGGTTCGAAGTAGAAGTGTGAGGTGTTAAACTCATGATTTCTCTACAGGAAAGTTATAAAAACATTGGTTCGAAGTAGAAGTGTGAGGTGTTAAACTCATGATTTCTCTACAGGAAAGTTAAGAAAACATTGGTTCGAAGTAGAAGTGTGAGGTGTTAAACTCATGATTTCTCTACAGGAAAGTTAAGAAAACATTGGTTCGAAGTAGAAGTCTGAGGTCAATGACGGACGCGGAGCGGGAGAGGGAAAACAATGCAAACTTCGACATCGAACCTACAACTGCGTAAGTCTGCACGTGACTGTGACATGTGCACGTGACTGTTGACTGTAGAAATCGATGATATCTCGAGTATAATTGTATGCATGAAATTAATTAATTTGACTAATGATCATTCCAGATATGGAAGTGGAGTTTAATGATAATTGATGGCGTTATTTTATCTAAAATAAGCTATTTTATCAATAGTTGTTGTATTGTAACAATTGTAAATAAATTGTAATTAGTTTTAAACGTTTTTATTTTATTTTCATTTAACGTGTTCACTCGATGAATATCTTTAAAACTTTAAGCCTGAATCTTTGTTGCTGCAAACAGATCTAAGTTATTACTTCGTTCAAAACTTAATGATGTTTTGTAACCCCCTTTATAAGCTAGTGTTACATGTTTCCTGATCATATGTTTCATGAAATTAAATGTAATTTTGCCTGAATGATCTATTGCGAACGTGAAATTTCCCAATGATCACATCTTCGTGTGTGTTTTTATTTAAAGCATGATATTAATAAGCTATATTGTATAAGTGTGGAGATTGATAACTATAAGCGAAGTGGTTTATTACCCAGTGGTTATTTTGTGTTCAGGACTGGGGAAGAGGTGGATTGTAACAAAAAGGAAAAGAAAAAGAAAAAAGAAACTTACGGAATATTTTCTGATGCAATGTAAAATTAACTGTCAAACTAACTGTCAAACTAACTGTGATCAGTATTATAGGGTGTTGAATTTTGATCAGTGTTTTTAGTTCTACTTCTTTGGTCACTTCCAAAACAAGATGTTTTCTGTACTTTTTGCCTTACAGGTCAAATAAGCGTATTTTTAACTACGTATATTATTATAAGTATAAGTACGTGTATTTTAACTACGTAAAATATAACATGTCAAAATACGTGTATTTTAACTAATTTTGATTAACGGTGGGAATATCAATAAATAATTTATACTCAATATCGCTATTATATTGATGCATTTCTAATTTCGCTTCAGATAGTTTTTACAGACAGATTTATATTATGTGATGACAAATAAAAATGTATTTTACAAATTGTTACTCAAGAGTAACTGTTTGATTTGTGCTTTTGCAACTAGAAATAAAGATCCATTCAATATTTATTCAATAAGTGTAAGTCATCATCACGATAATTGATATTGTGCATCGGACTGAATTAAAATGTTAAATGGGTGGTCAAAAATTGCGAAATGAATTACCCCATCCGGTGCTTGAGTAGAAAAAGTTCACAAATATTTGGCAAAAGTAGTAATTGCGGGATATTTTAACTGATCCACTAGAATAGTGAGATAACGTTTCCCTCAGGTCGAAACCGAGAGTGAAAGTGGACAAGATGGCCGTTCTATTACAGTTAACGAGAACCTTGGGACCCACTGCCCTTATGCCTCCTGACATGTATGATGTGATGTCCGGAAGTTACGCTCACGGTTCCCCATACTGACTGTATGTTAGTATGCACGTGATTGTTAATGTACTTCAATGTTCAATATGGATTGATCATCCGGTGGTATAATACAGCGATTGGGACATTTTTACAATTACTGTATATTTGTTTAAAATTCACGAACATGCATGAAATCTTTTCTAGTTCTACTGTCTACGGAGTAAATTTATAACATTATGTTAATGTACATAAAAGACTTGTTATTAATATTAACAATTAACTAGATCATAGATAAGATCATATTCAATATTTTTAATGTTTTTAAAATGGTTAAAAGTTGGATAACATAAGTTTAATAATTGATATGCATAATATTATAAAGTTTTTTCTATTTTTGAGTAATCTTAATCTTTGATCTTGTTGATTAGATTATACGTGTTTGTAGTCGACAAATTTAATGAGCAAAAGCTGGCATTTTGCCATTTATTTTTACTTCTGATTTCATGACTAATATTTTAATGTGAAACAAACGACATATTCGGTGATAAAAGTATTTAGACAAATTCTTGATAATCATTTATATGAACATAAAACAGACTTTATTTTGTAATTGTAAATGACGCAACGATGACAAACATGTTACTGGGCCGCGCTCAGCCAGCAACCTGTCATTCCGACGAATCTCTATGATTATGGACATAATTATAATAGCCTGAGGTCCGTCCCCAGGTAATGACAAATGAGTATCATGACGACGTGAGACAAATTTTTTAATTGAAATTTGCATCGTGTCTTGATTTACGCCAATCCTTCAACATTCAAAACTCGTTTTACTTTTAGGTTTATAATTTACTAGGACGCGGGCAGAATTGGACTCGTCGACGGTCCTGAAATATTTGAAACAAATATTTTACGAGTAACACCCGTTAACAAAACTCGTAGCGGCCACTAACGCATTGCTACAAGTAATATTTACGTTGTAGCGCGATGCGTTACTGTGCCGCGCCGAGCTGAGATGAATTGACATCGTCTATTAATATTTACGATTTGGCAAAAATTGTAGTCGCAAAGAAGTATAAAATGCAAAAAAACATAATTAATTATTTGATTGTTGATGCACGGCGCGATCGATCCAGTATATTATATAATTTATAAATAATTTAACGGGTGATAGTGATACTCGTAAAATATTTGTTTCAAATATTCGAGCGTGCTAAATCACTTTACAGTCGATCTTCGAGATTGTCTAAAAGGGCCCCCGACAGTTGAAACCAACTTTAATGTTCAATCGATGTATTTTCAAACGCTGATTCCGAATCACCCCCATGACATAGGGTTAAAACGCTCCTGTGACGAGATATTGACGAAAAGTTGTAGCGCGATGCGTTATTGTGCCGCGCCGCGGACTCAATGCAATGAGGTTTCTCACAGCGCTAGATCGGCGAGATGCGCTACTGTGCCGCGCCGTGCTGCGATGAATTGACATCGTCAATTAAGTTGACCATTGTTAATGATTTGGCCCGGCGCGCGCTACTTCGTAGCTCGTGCCAGCTCGAGAAGAAAGCGGCGCGCGCTACTTCGAAGAAATTTAGACGAGTAACATCCGTCAACGATCTGCATTATTGGATGCGCGGCGTGGCCCAGAAGTGCATTGTGCTACAACAAATAGTGCATTTCACGTCGCTCAAATATTAAAAATAAAACCGCCTTTGTATTGGAATTTGGGCACTGGGCATGCAAATTATTGCAATCCAGTAAAACTTTGTATCACGTGGTGACCCCACGGTCGCTTCACTGTAGAGTTTCGACGATACAGGGGGAGCCGCGCACTCGTGCGCGGCGGGTCATACAACGTATGACAAGTAAAACTAAACATTTTTAAATACCTTTTTGATATCCAATATATCGTTTCTTATATTAAAAACTTTTAGCTCAATTTAAAAGTCAAATTATTTTAAAAGACACTTAAAATGTTTAATTATCTTTTTGATATCGTTTTGAGATAAAATTTATGTACGCCGCGCATATTTCAAAGGTGCGCCGCGCTCATTCTATTTCGTATTTTAACTGATCTGTATTGTGAAAATCGAGCGCTACATTCACACCCCGTCGCGTTATCACTAGTTTTTGATTTATTTAGATTTTTTCCATCGACTTCTTTTTCTTTAAAAAAGCATAAGATGGTTAGAAGTGGTAGGATACATGCGCTTCTTCATAAATGTACACATAGCGTAAAAAGTGGATTTTTTGGTAATGCTGCGGCTTACGTTCAAGCCAAGTTCATGGGATGTAACTTCAATCGATCATAATTGCAATGAATTCAGTATTTCATTATTATCATAGCTACAGTATGCGAAACAATTTCAAAAACAGTTGCCAACTGCAATTGCAAAGATGAAATTTAAAAAGGAAACTGATCGCAATCAAATCCAACATTTTTACCATTTTCTTGACTAAGTAGTAAATTAATTAATTAATTAAAATTGAAATTTAAAAACACCACTATTAAGCGTACACTTTTACTCAGCAGTGTCACTACAACTAGTTTACAAAAATACTTTTAAAACTATATATCAAAAGCAAAATAAAGTTCCATGTTTAAATTCGTTCATAAAACTTCCAAAAAGCTAATATAATTTAGATAAGTCAAAGAGAGGGTTAAAATTATTAATAAAACATTTTTGCTACCTCAGTGTCAGATAAAGTAAACAAATAAGTCTTCAGTGCGGACTTAAACGCCTCAACAGAATAACATTGTTTAACTGAGTCTGGTAGTGCATTAAAAACTCGTAAATACATAACATAAAACTAGATTTTGAGAATAACAAAACATATGTCCGAAGAACGTAGCCATCATCGAAAACCGATAAAATCACTTTACAATTGTAGAATTGTGCACTTAAAATGACGCAAATCGCTGCTCAGCGGTGCGCATGGCTGGCGATCAAACTTTCAACGAAAGCAAACAGAACAGAATGCAACTAAATTGTCCGATTACATGCGCGTGAATTTCCTTTAAAAACTGCACGAGTCGCAATACGTGCCATCATTCCAGATATGGTCATGCGAATCGAAATCAGGACGGGTATAAGATTTAGTTAGTAATGTGAATGTGACTTTGTTATTGGTGAGTCACCAAATAATGTACCATATTTACCGACCGATCTGTCAAGTGAAATGTCAGCTGTTGAAAATAACACAGCTAACCAGTGAACGTAGTCATACTGCAAATTAATCGAGATGCATATATTATATTCGAACGAATTTTAATAAGTATTATGATATAGAATTGTAATTATAGGACTTAAAAAGACAGTTGATGGAAATTTAGCGTCCGCCTATGGCCTAACGGGCGCAATTCTTGTTATATTTACATGTAATGATCATGGATTTGGTTTGCAACTTTCAGGGATAGTATTTACAACACAGTCATAATTTTGTTAAAAGAAACGACATCACAAAGCAGCAACTAGGATAAAAAGTGTTCGTTAAAGTAAGGAATGCTTGCAAAGTTTTACAAGCTTTTGAGAATATTTGATACTGAATTATGTCACCAGTTATAAAAAAGTTCGGTTTTCAGCAGAACCTTATTCAAATTGTAGGTCTGTAGTTCCTACCAAGTTCTTAACTGTCTGGAGATGGGCTGTTGAAACCCTGCTTCTGTGAGCTGTTTTGAAGCTTTGAATGAGTTAGAGTACTCCATCTCGACTCTGCTGTCTATGTGCAGAATACTCAGACCACCCATTCGCAGGAGGTAAAGCCATCTCCCTTATCTAGCCAGGCGCAAATCCTTCGCCCATGATGGCTGGTATGAAGTTTGTGTGTTTTCAGGTGATTGGGCTGTATCATTTGGCACCAAAGCTTTCTGGCCAATTGTTCAACTGCTTAATTTAGAAGTTCAGGCTTTTTCTTGAATTTCTTAGAGCATAGTATATCTGCATCTGTTCATAGTAGGACCAAGGTTTCGCTGACCATTTTTGAAAAATATTAAATATTCAAATTACAGGTGGCCACATGTCTTTGTGCAAACGTTTGAGCTGATAAAGGGGGGGGGGGGGTGTCACGTCCGTCTATGTCCGCTTGTCTCATAGAATCCAAAAAGGACAGGACATAGACGGACATAGGCGGACATAAGCGGACATAGGCGGACATAGACGGACATAGGCAGACATAAACGGACATTAGCGGACATTAGCGGATATTAATGGACACCTAAATTGCTAAATAAAATGTTCAATTTTTGCTGTTATAGGGGGATCATGTTTTTTGTCCGTTCGGTACCCTATATTTTCAAAACGGACAAAAAATAGAGCGGACAAAAACGGACAAAAATGGACAAGAACGGACAAAAATGGAAATAACATTTAGATGCTTCCTCCTCCTACTCTTCCTCCTCCTCCTCCTGGGTCTTCCTGATCTTCCTCAGTCCTCTTCCTTCTCCCCTCCTCAGTCCTCCTCCTACTCCTCATCCTCGTCCTCAGTCCTCCTCATCAGTCCTCAACAGTCCTCCTCCTCCCCAGTCCTCCTCCTCCTGAGTCCTCGTCCTGGGTCCTCGTCCTGGGTCCTCGTCCTAGGTCCTCGTCCTGGGTCCTCCTCTTCATCCTCCTCCTCTTCCTCCTCAGTCTTCAGTCCTCCTCAGTCCTCCTCCTCATCCTTCTCCTCAGTCCTTCATCCTCCTCAGTCCTCCTCCTGCTCCTCCTCCTCTTCCCTCTCGGTCATCCTCCTCAGCCATCCTCCTCAGTCCTCCTCAGTCCTCCTCAGTCCTCCTCAGTCCTCCTCCTCCTGGGTCCTCCTCCTCCTCTTCATCCTCCTCCTCTTCCTCCTCGGTCCTCAGTCCTCCTCCTCAGTCCTCCTCCTCATCCTTCTCATCAGTATTCCTCCTCCTCAGTCCTCTCCCAGTCCCCCTCCTTCTCCTCCTCCTATTCAGTCCTCCTCCTCCTCCTCCTCAGTTCTCCTCAGTCCTCCTTCTCATTTCTCCTAAGTCCTCCTCCTGAGTCCTCCTCCTCCTCTTCCTCCTGAGTCCTCCTCCTCCTCCCTCTCAGTCATCCTCCTCAGCCATCCCCCTCAGCCATCCTCCTCAGCCATCCTCCTCAGCCATCCTCCTCAGTACTCCTCAGTCTTCCACCGTTCGGTACCCTATATTTTCAAAACGGACAAAAAATAGAGCGGACAAAAACGGACAAAAATGGACAAAAACGGACAAAAATGGAAATAACATTTAGATGCTTCCTCCTCCTACTCTTCCTCCTCCTCCTCCTGGGTCTTCCTGATCTTCCTCAGTCCTCTTCCTTCTCCCCTCCTCAGTCCTCCTCCTACTCCTCCTCCTCGTCCTCAGTCCTCCTCATCAGTCCTCAACAGTCCTCCTCCTCCCCAGTCCTCCTCCTCCTCCTCCTGAGTCCTCCTTCTGGGTCCTCCTCCTCCTCTTCCTCCTCAGTCCTCCTCAGTCCTCCTCAGTCCTCCTCCTCATCCTTCTCCTCAGTCCTCCATCCTCCTCCTCAGTCCCCCTCCTCCTCCTATTCAGTCCTCCTCCTCCTCCCCCTCCCCCTCAGTCCTCCTCCTTCTCAGTCCTCCTTAGTCCTCCTCCTCGTCCTCCTGAGTCCTCCTCCTCCTCCTCCTCCTCTTCCCTCTCAGTCATCATCCTCAGCCATCCTCCTCAGTCCTCCTGGGTCCTCCTCCTGGGTCCTTCTCCTCCTGAGTCCTCCTCCTCCTCTTCCTCCTCGGTCCTCAGTCCTCCTCGGTCCTCAGTCCTCCTCCTCAGTCCTCCTCATCCTTCTCATCAGTCCTCCTCCTCCTCAGTCCTCTCCCAGTCCCCCTCCTTCTCCTCCTCCTATTCAGTCCTCCTCCTCCTCCTCCTCCTCAGTTCTCCTCAGTCCTCCTTCTCATTTCTCCTAAGTCCTCCTCCTGAGTCCTCCTCCTCCTCTTACTCCTGAGTCCTCCTCCTGAGTCCTCCTCCTCCACCCTCTCAGTCATCCTCCTCAGCCATCCTCCTCAGCCATCCTCCTCAGTACTCCTCAGTCCTCCTCCTTCTCAGTCATCGTCAGTCCTCCTCGTCAGTCCTCGTCAGTCCTCCTGGGGGGGGTACCAATGGCATAAAATGGCATAAATGGCATACGTTTTATGGCATAAATGGAAATTTTGATTGGCCAATTCTCCATTTATGCCATGAATTTAGGTCTTCATATTTGACTTTAAATTCGCAAATTATTATTAGTACTTGAATAAGAGACATGTTTCATGCTTTATAACGCTTGGAATGATCGTTAAAGATTCATATGACAAATAAAGAAAATAGAAATGTATTATATCAAAAATGGCATAAATGGCATACGTTTTATGGCATAAATGGAAATTTTTATTGGCCAATTCTCCATTATGCCATTTATGCCATTGGTACCCCCCCGTCCTCCTCCTCCTCCTGGGTCCTCCTCCTCCTGGGTCCTCCTCCTGGGTCTTCCCGATCCTCCCCAGTCCTCTTCCTCCTCCCCTCGTCAGTCCTCCTCCACCGTTCGGTACCCTATATTTTCAAAACGGACAAAAAATAGAGCGGACAAAAACGGACAAAAATGGACAAAAACGGACAAAAATGGAAAAACATTTAGATGCTTCCTCCTCCTACTCTTCCTCCTCCTCCTCCTGGGTCTTCCTGATCTTCCTCAGTCCTCTTCCTCCTCCCCTCCTCAGTCCTCCTCCTACTCCTCATCCTCGTCCTCAGTCCTCCTCATCAGTCCTCAACAGTCCTCCTCCTCCCCAGTCCTCCTCCTCCTGAGTCCTCGTCCTGGGTCCTCCTCTTCATCCTCCTCCTCTTCCTCCTCAGTCCCCAGTCCTCCTATGTCCTCCTCAGTCCTCCTCCTCATCCTTCTCCTCAGTCCTTCATCCTCCTCCTCAGTCCTCCCCTAGTCCCCCTCATCCTCCTCCTATTCAGTCCTCCTCCTCCTCCTCCTCCTCCTCCTCCTCCTCCTCCTCCTCCTCCTCAGTCCTCCTCCTTCTCAGTCCTCCTTAGTCCTCCTCCTTCTCCTCCTGAGTCCTCCTCCTGCTCCTCCTCCTCTCCCCTCTCGGTCATCCTCCTCAGCCATCCTCCTCAGCCATCCTCCTCAGCCATCCTCCTCAGTACTCCTCAGTCTTCCACCGTTCGGTACCCTATATTTTCAAAACGGACAAAAAATAGAGCGGACAAAAACGGACAAAAATGGACAAAAACGGACAAAAATGGAAATAACATTTAGATGCTTCCTCCTCCTACTCTTCCTCCTCCTCCTCCTGGGTCTTCCTGATCTTCCTCAGTCCTCCTCCTCATCCTTCTCATCAGTCCTCCTCCTCCTCAGTACTCTCCCAGTCCCCCTCCTTCTCCTCCTATTCAGTCCTCCTCCTCCTCCTCAGTTCTCCTCAGTCCTCCTGAGTCCTCCTCCTCCTCTTCCTGATCCTCCTGAGTCCTCCTCCTCCTCCCTCTCAGTCATCCTCCTCAGCCATCCTCCTCAGCCATCCTCCTCAGCCATCCTCCTCAGCCATCCTCCTCAGTACTCCTCAGTCTTCCACCGTTCGGTACCCTATATTTTCAAAACGGACAAAAAATAGAGCGGACAAAACGGACAAAAATGGACAAAAACGGACAAAAATGGAAATAACATTTAGATGCTTCCTCCTCCTACTCTTCCTCCTCCTCCTCCTGGGTCTTCCTGATCTTCCTCAGTCCTCCTCCTACTCCTCCTCCTCGTCCTCAGTCCTCCTCATCAGTCCTCAACAGTCCTCCTCCTCCCCAGTCCTCCTCCTCCTCCTGAGTCCTCCTTCTGGGTCCTCCTCCTCCTCCTAGGTCCTCCTTCTCCTCCTCAGTCCTTCTCCTCCTCCTCCTCAGTCCTCTTCCTCCTCTTCCTCCTCCTCCTCCCTCTCAGTCATCCTCCTCAGCCATCCTCCTCAGGCCTCAGCCATCCTCCTCAGTCCTCCTCCTTCTCAGTCCTCTTCAGTCCTCCTCCTGAGTCCTCCTCCTCCTCAGTCATCCTCCTCAGTTCTCCTCCTCCTCCACCTAGGTCCTCCTTCTGGGAAAAATTCTCAAAATGTTTGTCCGCTAATGTCCACCAATGTCCGTTAATGTCCACCAATGTCCGTCCGAGTCCGCCAATGTCCGTCCGGGTCTGCAAATGTCCGTCCGAGTCCGCCAATGTCCGTCCGAGTCCGCCAATGTCCGTCCGAGTCCGCCAATGTCCGTCCGTGTCCGCCAATGTCCCAAAAAACACGTCCGTTGTCTCATAAAATCCAAAAAGGACAGGACATAGGCGGACATAGACGGACATGACACCCCCCCCCCATAAAGTCACCATTTTCATGTTAAATAAGTTTGTAACTAACTGTGAATGAAAGAAAGCATTTTTATCCCATTTACATCAACAGCCAATATCACAAAAAAAAAACAAATTGTTGATGTCAAAGTGGTTAACTTGGTGAACAATGTAATAATTTAAACTCTGGATTTTCACACTTAATATTATCAGTGATTGTAAGATGATAATAGTGGCCAACAAATTTTTTATCTAGCTACTGTAGCTAAAAAAATCATCCAACATGAACTGGTGCAACACGGTCAATCACATAACAATTTTGGGGCCAGGGGGGCCTGGTATATCGAGGTACCTTGCGATTTTGCTTGCTCGTCTAGTTAGCTCGCTTTTTTGTATAGCCCGGATTATGAAAACTCCTCGGCGGAACACAGTGACTGAGGATGGCCATGGGGTCACGTTTGCGCATGAGTTTTTACTTGTCTTGCTGTGAATTACGCATAGCCAGGTACTAAAATTATGCACGAGGATATTAGTAACAGCTACCAACCTGATGTTTTTGTATTTATAATAAATCATTAATTTAGGATCCAATCGTTATATTCATTATTCAATATTCAATATTTACCAGGCCTTTTCTAACGCTCCAGTTTCACGGGGAAACAACTTGAACCGTATCCGGCCATAAGAAACAAAACCACAAAATATGTCCAAACAAGGTAAAGTAACACTAAAGGTGTACTATAAACATTAACTAAGGTTACGTACCTGAGATGAAGGAGGGGTGAGCTCTGTACATTTCCAGATTTCCGCTAGTTCCCAGACCAGCTGATATGGTACAGGACATGGTGAAGGCGGCGTCTGCCCCAACTTTAGTGTAGGTCGGTACCACGCTGAACCCTGGAGTGTTGCAAATTTAGTGAAAATTATTATACTGCTGACTCTTGCTGTTGCATTATTGTCAATGTAAAGTCACAAGTTTCTATTTTCACGAACAGATCAATATGTCATGATTTAGGATGAAACAACCAGTAGATATTGAATCTGGTTCGTGATATGACGTGTTAGTGTTACATACCTTTGATTGCTAGAGTGGTCACGGTTCCAGAAACGGTCGCTGTTCCGTAGTCCGCGACACACGTGTAGGAACCTGGAAAGCGAGGTTTTGAAGCTCTAAATAAATATAAGTTTAATTGGAGAACACCATTCACCTCAATTGATTTAAATTACCACAACTAATTACTTCAATTAATTACTTCAATAAATTACTTCAATTTTGTTATTAAACATTACATTACATGGTCCACTAATAAATATTGTAACAGTTAATAATCACCTGCGTCACTAGTTTGGGGAGATACTATTTTGAGGTAGTGGTTAGGTGCGGAAGAGGATTTTTCGTAACCAGAGTTAGCTGTAGTGTCCACAAGGATGTTGTCTTTAGACCACGTGATCTGATGAAAAGATAGGCTTAGCACGTGATAAGATAAACACGTGATAGGCTTAGCACGTGATAAGATGAGCACGTGATAAGATAAACACGTGATAATATACACATTAAACACGTGATAAGATAAGCACGTGATAAGATAAGCACGTGATAAGATAAGCACGTGATAAGATAAGCACGTGATAAGATAAGCACGTGATAAGATAAGCACGTGATAAGATAAGCACGTGATAAGATAAGCACGTGATAAGATAAGCACGTGATAAGATAAGCACGTGATAAGTTGAACACGTGATAAGATAAGCACGTGATAAGATCTAAGATGGCAAGTACGTACGGTACGTACCTTTAAAAATAGCTGTACGGTACGTACTTTTAAACTTGGGCTGAAAGGTACAATGCTTGCAATTGCAAAAAGATGCACAAAAACCACGTTCACACGACAACTTTCATGGAAGCTGAATTCGCTCATCGCTGCATTTCAATTTATACCATTAGATTTAGAGCCGTTGTACAAGAATGTTCCAGAAGCAAGAAGGGTTGGACCATGTGACATTGGATTTGGCGCTTTGAATTATGTTGGTTGAAAAAGTTGGCAGATGTTGTTTACGCGATTTTTAGCGCATCCTCATTAATGTGTGAAACTAACTTTAGAGACTACGAATATCTTATTATATGAATATCTTATTATATGAATTGTTATACCTTCTGTATAACAAGTTTTAACTTCTTAACTTTAAGCTTAACCACGCTCTCCTATAGTTCAACTGATTAACAGAAGATCACTTTAACAACGAAGTAATACAGCCGTCAACTCAGTGGCTGATTACTAACACAGTCAACGCGTCCACGACTAGGAGCAGGACACATCGCCTGGACACCGGACACCACTCTTATCCCAGCACATCTGCACCATGCAACGTGACGTCACAGCAACATCGCAATACGTGTCTAAGCAGACTTCAGCAAGGAGGGTCACTTCGATTCTAGCACGGGAGATTTGCCACGGACTTTACTGAGTTACTGAATAGACTCTTTACTCCCATCTTTATCGTCTTGATATTATACTAATTGTCAACGTTACTTTTATTCGTATTTTATCCAACTGTTTTAATTGTTCAACGTTAGACAGGACCTAAAACTAATAGCCTATAAACGGGTAATTTATAATAAGTGGAGCCTGATCCAAAAAAGAACAACTGATCCAGAGGAGAACAAGTAGACATGTCTAAGGAACAACTTCTTCAACAACTCAAAACCATCATCGACGAAGCAGGTGAGAACGCTACTCTTATTAAACAAGAGGCTGTAGATTTATTAGATTTACAAGCACAGATTACTCAAACTGCAGCCCAAACCAACGGTGCTCAGCCAGGTTTAACAGAGGCACTAGCAAGATTAAAAATTTCACAATCAACGAAAATGCCCAAATTTGTCAAAACAGACAACTTCTCAAGATATTGTGAACGATTCCAAGAATACGTTTACATAGCAAAAATCAACGATCCAAACCTTAACATGTTTTTTCTACAAAATTTGGACGATGAAACTTATTCACAATTAAGAAATGTAGAACTTACCAACGAACAAAAAGTTAATGCTCAACTTTTCTGTCCAATTTACAAGCGAGCAATCTACGCGGACATGTCCATCTCACTCAAAAACGAAGTGATGGAATGTCGTCAAAAAGTTGACGAAAACATTGCGGATTACGCATTTCGTCTCAGAGAAAAAGCAATGATTGCATATCCTAACACGCAAGATGCTGAAGAAAATTGTCTAATAGCATTCCTACGGGGAGTTAAAGATCCTCAAATGAGGAGAAAACTTAATGAAGCATCATCTTTATCAACGTTCAAAAATGCAATAACCCTAGCAAAACGCTTAGAAAAAGTCAACGAAATGCTCAACGAGGAACCGGAGGTAAATTCGATTCTTAAAGAGTCAACTTACTCGTTCAAACCGGAAAGAGAAAAACCTGATTATCCACGAAATGAGTCTTATAATATTCAACGATATAGTAAATCGGAGTCTCCCAATAGAGCCTCAAACTCCGATTATCATCAACAGAGAGACAGATCTTCGTCAAGAGACCACAATAGATCTCGACCCAGAGATAGGGATAGCAATCAAGGAAATCAACGAAGTGACAACTATGACAGATCTCGTAGGAGATCGTCGTCACGTGACTCCAGTAGATATAGGTCTAATACTACTGGTCGATTCAACGATAGACGAGGTAGATCCAGGACTCCGGAATATAAAAGGTATAATTATCGCAGTGATTATAATAACAACGATAATTACAGACGAAATAACCGTTATGGAAACAATTTCCATCGTAACGTAACTTGTTATAACTGTAAACAACAAGGTCATATTCAACGAAACTGTTCTTATAATACAGTAAATCATTTTGTAAGTCAACGTCCACCAATGCAAAATTGCGAACAGTTCCAACAATATGGAAGGAATTTCCCTCCGTCTAATCCTGATACACAACAACATGTCTCTAGGAGTAATCAGATTCCAACTGACCAATCAACGATACAAAATCACAACGGTTTAAACTAAAAAGGGGTTGTGAATTCTCTCATTTCAACGAAAATATTGCCTCTAATAACAATAGAAGTAACTATTTACAACCTCGATTAAACCCCTATAACCAAATTATTGTCAACGGATATTGTGAAAATACTATGTGCAACGTTTTAGTGGACACAGGTGCAACAATCAGCTTAGTGTCTAGTAGAATAATCTACTTAATGAATCTGGAACTTAACATCAATAAACTCATAGCAGGATTAGGTAAGAAGATCATCCCTATGAGAGGGGAGATAGTCCTGTCCCTCCAACTGGGTAAAGCTAGTCAACGACACATATTTGTAGTTAGTGATAATCTTGATTCTGAGATCTTGATGGGTATGGATCTCATGAAGAAATTCAACATGTGTATCAACGTACCACATAAATTGATTCAAATGCCCCATAACAACAACGTTACCTTCATTAACAAACCTGTTGCTATAAAATCTAGAATGAAAATAAGATGCAACAGAACCATTAAAATACCAGCTAAAACAGCTTGCTACGTCAACGGCAAGATCCCTGTTTGTAATACCACGACAAACTATGAGGGAATTATAGAACCTTACAAGAAATTAGCCGAATCAAATGGCATTTTTGTTACTGGGTCTATATCTTATTCTAACAAGAACTTAGTACCCATACACTGTATCAACCCAATGCCCTGGGAAGTAACAGTCTACAAAAATCAACTGTTGGCATTTATTGAACCATTTCAACCTTTTGGTTCAATTCAAGAAGCACATGTTATTAAGAAAGCTACTGATTTCTACGATGCTTCTATCAACGTTCCGAGACTATCAACAGCTGAACCCGTTGAAGTTACACGGGAAAAAGGAAAATGGGATAATCCCGAAAATTTAATCAAACAACTGAAAATTGACAAAATAGATGTTTCTGAAAATTACAGAAACGAGCTTAAGTCCTTAATAACGGAATTTAGTCACTGCTTTTCCAGAGACAAATTCGATCTAGGATGCGCTTCATTCTACGAAGCAAGGCTTACTCTCAAAAGAGACTTTACTCCTAAATGGGTACCAACGCGCCAAACATCTTATAAGATGCAACCATTTATGGATCAACAGATAGAGAACTTAGAAAAATCTGGTCAAATATCTAAATGCAGATTCTCTATATGGAATCTTCCTGTCTTCTTAGCAGTCAAACCAAATTCTAAATCAACGGCCAATCCTCACAGATTAACTCTCAGGTCATTAAGGATAATTACGAATTACCTCGTATTAACAACATCCTCGACAAAATGACAGAAGGTAAATTCTGGTCAAATTTTGATCTAACCTCCAGTTTTACTCAAATTGGTTTAGAGCAAAATTCACGCCACTTAACGGCATTCACATACAATCAACGACGCTATATGTTTAACAGAATGATCCAGGGTGCTATCAACTCATCTGCGGAATTTTCCCGCGCAATGGGACTCTTGTTCGAATCAACGCCTTTCTCGTCATTATGCTTCTTTATCGACGATTTGCTTATGGCATCTAACACTGAGAGAGAACACATCAAACGGCTAAGATTTATGTTTCAACGATTAGAATGGGGTAATCTCAAATGTAATCCCAATAAAACAAATCTCATGGCCAGAGAGGTCAATTTTGTCGGACACACTCTCAGTGAAAAAGGGTTACAAGTTTCGGACGACAAAATTCAAGCTATTAAAAAGCTGCCTCCTCCCATCAACGTTAAGTCTTTACAGAGCTTTCTAGGTATGTTAAACTATCACAGAAATCATATTCAACATTTCGCTCAAACTGCCGCTCCATTATACAACCTGCTGCAGAAAAACGCCCCATTTAACTGGGACGATTCTTGTCACGAAAGTTGGTCTAAACTTCGTACTGCTTTAATGACAGCTCCCATATTAGGTATTGTCGATTATACTGACAAATATCAATCATACATAGTAACTATCGACAGCAGCAAAGCTGGACATGGTGCTACGTTAACTCAGTGGGATGGTAATCAACGTAGAATAGTTGCTTATTTCAGTAAAAGCGTACCAAAGCATCAACAGAAATTGGGCGCTACTAAACTTGAAATGTTAGGATTGCTAGCCGCATTAAAACATTGGCGAATCCTCTTGCACGCAACGCCCTTTATAGTAAAAACAGATTGTGTTGCTCTGCTTTCATTACAATCTATTTTTCATAAGGAAAATTCTTATATGCAACGACGCTTAGCTATGCTTGCAGGTTTCACTTTTAAAATTCAACATATAAGTGGAAAAAGTGAAGAGATCAAAATAAGTGATTATCTTTCTCGTTGGGGACCGTTTGAAGTGAAGTCAACTAATGCTCAAACTCAAACCCGTAATACCAACGTCACTGCAAAAAGAAAAAAAAAAAATGCGTTTTTGACAATAAAATCAACGATTTTAATGCCAAAAATCTGGCAGGTGTAGTCTCACAAGGCACACAAACATCAGAAATCAGTAAAATCAATGACTCTGATATGCTCAATTATAATGAGGATAATATTTGTCAGACGAACAAATACGGCTTTGGCGACTCATGTGTGAGTTCAACTGATGAAGAATCATCAGAATCAGATGAGCTTGATTCAACCAAGCTGCACAACGTACTACTTCAAAGTATTGAAAAAGAAACAACGCCAATTACCTTAGATGACGTACGCAGTGAGTACTTCAACGACAAAATATTGCTTGAGGTTATTGATTGGGTAAAAATCAACAAAAAACCAATTAACATTGACTCTCGCAGCTCTCATTGTGAAACATTCCATTATTGGAAAAATTTCAATCAACTCACATTCAACAATGGAATATTGTACATCAATAGAATCAACGCTAATTCCAAGAAAACCACTAAAATTATTGTGTTACCTTACACATTAATAGAACGGGTACTCTACTCGTATCATAACACAATTTCAAATTGTCATCCTGGAGCTGAAAACTCCTATGAATTGTGCATCAAACGATTCTACTTTTACAAAATGCGTAAAGAATTTGAATTGTGGGTCAACGCATGCTTAGTGTGTAACAGAACCAAACAAGCACAAGCACTTCGAAGGGCACCTCTACGGCCTATAATTTATAACCACCCTTTTCAAGCTATTTCCATTGATCACTTGGAAGTATCTAAAACGCCTACTCCACGAGGCATAACAGCCCTATTAAATATCACTGATATGTTCACCGGTTATTTAGTTTGTATCCCAGTTAAGTCACAAAAGGCTGAAGTCACGATACAGAAAATTATTGAACATTGGATATTGCGATTTGGCATGTTTAACAACCTTCACCACGATTAAGGTGCAGGATTCACCAGTAAACTGTTTCAGGCCATTCTCAAAGTGTTTAACATTAAAGATAAGCCAGGCTCTAGTTTCAGTTCTAAAACTCAAGGCAAGATTGAAAGTATGAATCGACGACTGAACATTGCCTTTCGTTCAACTTTGTCTGATAAGGACTTTAAAAACTACGACTTGTACGCTAAGTACATTACCTTTGTGCTCAACGCGCTGAAATCCTCCAGAACAGGTCATTCGGCATATTACTTAGTCCACGGTCATGAGCTTATCATGCCTAGGGATCTGTTTATCAACGACAACAGATTAGAGAAACTCCAATCTGAAATGGATGTTTCTAAGGAGGAAAATTATGCTTACCAACTTTATAAGCAAGTCCGTGACGTAACCAGATCCGTCATAGCCAGCACTAAACAACGAGTCCAATATATGGCTACTCAGTATGACAAAAAAGTTAAGGGTCCATTCTTTGAAGAAGGGCAGTACTGTTTCCTACTTGTCAACGTACCAAAGCACAAATATAGTGAACGCTGGACCGGTCCTTACCTTATAACCCATAAAATTAACAATTGGAATTATATTATTCAAGTCAACGGAATAGAAAAAGTAGTAAATATCGAGAAATTAAAACACTACAAAATCTCTAAATATTCAAATATCGACGGTGAACTAGAGAAGAATTTATCAACAGGAAATTCTAACAATAAACCATCAACTTCAATTTCCAATCACAAACCTTCTGATCCCAAGGAGGACAGCGAAAGTGATGATGACATCATCATATCTATTGATATTCCATTATCAACGAACACTAAACTTGATACATATAACAGTTCAAGTCAAGCTATAAACAATAATGAAGGGAAGACAGATCAAAACACTGTCTCCAACCAATGTATCACTTCTACTGGTACTCCTATTATAAATGTCGATCAACAGGAGGTACAAATGCCTTCTCCTTCGAATAGTTTGGAACCCAGAGTTACACCTATTCCAGTAGGTGAGTTAAACAACGATAGTAGTGCAGTTTCAACGCCTGCTAGTTCTATCAACGAGTCAGAAAATGAAGATGATGACCAAGAAGCATTCTATGATGCTAGCACATCTTTGCTTGGTAATGAACAGCCAGACAATCAACCGAGTGGTAGTGGCAGGAATCTAACTCTGCCGGATATAGATAAACACGGGAAGAAAAAGGGTGTTAAAGTTCCCTTAGCTTCCAGAGAACTCAGCAGATCAGAAGTACAAGAAGATCTGACTGCGGATCACAGGTCTAATGCTCGTTATGGCTTAAGACCTAGGGTAACTGGGGTGAAGAAATATGGATTTAGTTCACCAGTTAAAACCCTAAAAAAGAAGATAACCAAAACGAAATCTTCTAAGAAGTGACGTAGGTTACTCACGAGTTTGACTTTATCAACGTGTCAATAACGCCTGACTCGAGTTAAAAGGCTCAACATTAAGTCAGATGGTTTTATCATACCTCACGTGCTTTAGGCACTTATAGTCTGCTTGTTAGTACTTCGTAGTCACTTGTTTGCTTTGCTCGAACTGAAGGTAACTTCAATTGTGATTTAGATTTTACTAGTACTAACTTGCTACTTCATTCAGCTATATGGATGTTAGTATTTTCGGTGTTACTAACATATTGTTACGGCAACTCTTATGGTAAATTTTGGGATCCGCGGGGTTCCTCTGAAGACTTGGTTATCACCTGGGTCTTAAAGCTGAATAAATTGGTATGATAACTTTGATGCAGGTTCACACTATGATTAGTGTTCTAAATTTTTGCCCGATTTTCTGCTAGCACAGTGCAGCACGCAGGAATAATATTTTAGGACTCCAAGCCGGGGAGGCTAAACGAACTTCCCCTAATGTTCAACGTAAACCGATTCGCACGGTTAATCTTACGGCATATTCAACGCCTTTTAATTTTATTTACTCAACCGAAATTTCCCAAGTATTCGGGAATATAGGTGAGATAACACTTCGCTAAACAGTCTTATCACCCCTGTTATCAACCAGTATCACTCCAACAGCTGGTCAACGAGTCTAACCATATTAACTTTGGGTGCATTGCATGGTTAATAATCTTACAAATCAACGTAAAAACACTTCAAGTGCAACGGTTATCGGCCGAATTTGTTGAGTTATCAAATCAACGTACAGATAAACGCAACACCAGTCATGAAACTACCCCATCCAACTCAAAGGGGGCTTCTACTTATCGAATTATCTTATCTCAACGAAGTGCTCTTCTACGCAACCTTCAGCTAACCTATGCATTACGAGTTTAACAATCACGTGAAGCCGGGGTCCTCCTTACCAACGAATTACGACTCACTTCACATTTCACTCGTTTTATGTCAACGTACTTTTACACACTAGTATAGCCACTTGCTTACTTTACTTCTTTTCTACGCAGTAATGTTATTTCACTTACACTTGCTTCTCATTAGCATTATTCAACTTATTATCACTTTCTATGTTACGATAATCTATTCTATCTGTTTAGAGTATGTCCGTATCAGACAGCATTATTGATAATGTTACACCTGATCTTTTAAATGTTGATTCAACGCCCAACTCTTTGGACTACTCTACCACAATTAACAGGGAGGTTAAAAATCTTGATATCTATATTACGGAGAACATTTTAACTGTTTCCAACGACATGATCAACGATTGTCAATTGAGCTTAACTCATTCAAACCTTAATCAACCTGATATTATCAACGATATTAGCATCACGCTAAACAATTCTGACTCAGAAATCCCATATCCAGGAAAAGTTGCCATTCCTAACAGGAGTCAAGTCAACGCACATTCTCATCAACGCCATATGAGCCCTGTCTGCCAGGGACAAAAGGAAATCGCGGCATGTACGGAATCGCGATTTTTCCCATTATTTGCGAAAAATTTTATGTATAGTTTAATATACCGCGAAATGTAATTCGCGGTATCGCGATTTTTGGCCAAAATTACCGCGAAATCCTTTTGTCCCTGCTGTCTGCTGGTTTAACATTCAGGATGACTAAGATACTCTACTCTACGTCCTTCTACTAGTATTCAACTGTACATGAATATGTACTAGTTACTTGAAGTACTCTTTTTCATTTCATCTTTCAATGTAAATCTTTTATCTTCTTCTTTCAACGTTTTGGTAGAGAGGATTTGTTATACCTTCTGTATAACAAGTTTAAACTTCTTCTTTCAACGTTTTGGTAGAGAGGATTTGTTATACCTTTTGTATAACAAGTTTTAACTTCTTAACTTTAAGCTTAACCACGCTCTCCTATAGTTCAACTGATTAACAGAAGATCACTTTAACAACGAAGTAATACAGCCGTCAACTCAGTGGCTGATTACTAACACAGTCAACGCGTCCACGACTAGGAGCAGGACACATCGCCTGGACACCGGACACCACTCTTATCCCAGCACATCTGCACCATGCAACGTGACGTCACAGCAACATCGCAATACGTGTCTAAGCAGACTTCAGCAAGGAGGGTCACTTCGATTCTAGCACGGGAGATTTGCCACGGACTTTACTGAGTTACTGAATAGACTCTTTACTCCCATCTTTATCGTCTTGATATTATACTAATTGTCAACGTTACTTTTATTCGTATTTTATCCAACTGTTTTAATTGTTCAACGTTAGACAGGACCTAAAACTAATAGCCTATAAACGGGTCATTTATAATAAGAAGCCTCAGCTTGCTGAAAAAAGAGTACTTATTTACTCCAATAAGCACATTATAATGTGATACTGATTTTATCTGTCACTGTCCATTTTTATCTCTCACTGTTAATTTACTATCTTAATAATTCATGTTCCTCTTCGACTAATACCTCAAATAAAATTATGATAATACTATTACTAAAGGAACATTGCAAGTACTCCACTAACTTTGAAAAAAGTTTCATTTTTTTCCCAAAAAAGTCTGTACCCTATAGGGCCTGTATGGTACGTACCTTTAAAAGTAGCTGTACCGTACGTACTTAAAGCCCTGTACCGTACGTACTTGCCATCTTAGGATAAGATAAACACGAGATAAGATAAACACGTGATAAGTTGAACTGAGGTTATTGATAACAATGAGTATGCACTAACCGAGGTGGGGGTATAAGAGAATGCACATGAGAGGGTTAGGGCAACTCCGTCATACCCGTTGGGGGTAGCTGTGGCGGCACCAGTGTTCGCTGGGCAATATTGTGTTATTAATTAAATGAATTATAGTAATAAGTACCAAAACAATATCAAATCGAATTCTAAAGTTGGAGATAACAACCCAGACATTGGACTGATATAATAAACACAGCGTGTAAACTAATTAACCTAATAAATTAACCTAATTAATTAAACCAATAACCAGTTACCCACCGAGTATGTTGATAGAAGCCGGACTACTAGTGACTATATTACTCCCTCCAACCACAGCTAGTGAGCTGTACTCTACTGCGCACACAAAGCTCTCGTCAGTGGTGGCTGTACGTGACAAGGTCTTTGTGGCGATGAAGTTAGTTGTAGTTATCGAGCTGACTGTGTAGTCTCCCCCACTGGTCAGAGCAGCTGGTGTAGTTCGGATATGTTATATCTTTCATGTTTTCAAGAAATATCGTTAGATTATATCTGCATTATAATTGGTATTTCTTGGTATTATATTGATTTAACTGCTTTATGGTTACTAGCAGGAATTACCCGTCTAACCCTAAAACATGGTGTCAAGACTCAAGCTCTAAAATCATTATTCCTTGGCCAATTTTTTATTTTTTCATGCTGATTCGGAGGCCATTAAAGCATTTGAGCCAGTCAAAAAAGATAGCATGCTCAAAAAATGTTACAACTAACTATTAAGGTTGGCTGAGAGGTAGAAGTTAATATCTGCAGTGTAATCAGTAGGACTGGAGGCAGAGCAGGTGAAGGTCACTGAAACACCAGCGATTGTGTTCACGTCAGATGGCGCTTTGGTTATCTCTGAAATATGCAACTGGTTGGGGGGGGGGGGGGGGTCCAACCCGATCAATTCCGATAATTCCGATCCCGATTTTGGCCTCATCAACCCTCATATCGGAAAAATCGGGAAAATTTAAATCTTCCCTCTGAGGTTTCTAGGCGATATAGGTAGCTATTTCTGTACTTAAATATGACAAGAAATCGATTGGTGGTGGTCCCAGAACCCCAAAATGGTATCTTGTTCCAAACAAGAATCGTTTCGTCCGAAAAACAACACAATGTCGTACCAACTCTTGTTTGACAGAAACATCCACCCCGGTCCACAATTGAAAGAGGTACGGTTGGTAATAACAATCGTAACAAATAGCGAACGCTTTAGTAACTTTTGATTTAAATTGTCTCCACAATTTGTAACAGGCTATCTGCAGAAATGGGTAGCACGGTTAATGACTATGGTCCTTTCTCAAACTTCCAATCCTCAGTTAGATACAAAGAATAGTCTACACAATTTTCAATAACATTAAAAGGGATGAAAATCACTTTATTTATCAAAATCTTTATTTATCATGTAACAACTTTTCCATAGTACTGGAGAGTAAAACTCTGTTAAACAAAAAAATTCTCGGGCACATTTTGAGTCAGTAACAGTAACATGTCAATATGTTACAGACTCAAATGCGTTTAAAAACATTTTAGTAACAATAAATTGTGTAAACTGATGAGGAGGAGGAGGAGGACTGAGGAGAAGGAGGACTGAGGAGGACAGAGGAGGAAGACTGAGGAGGACCAGGACGAGCACTAGGAGGATGAGGACGAGGACTAGGAGGATGAGGACGAGGACTAAGGACGATGAGGACGAGGACTAAGGACGAGGAGGAGGACGACTGATTAGGAGGAGGACTGATTAGGAGGAGAAGGAAGAGAAGAAGGAGGAGGAGGATGAGGAAGAGAAATGAGGAGGAGGAGGAAAAGGAGGAAGACTGAGGAGAAAGAGGAGGACCGAGGAGGACTGAGGAGGAGGAGGACTGAAGAGGAGAGGGAGGACTGAGGAAGAGGAGCAGGATTGGTGTGGAGGAAGACGAGAAGGAGGAGGACGAGAGCGAGGACGAGGAGGAAGACTGAGGAGGAGGACTGTTAAAAAGGAGAAGGACGAGGACTGAGGAGGAGGACTGAGGATGAGGAGAAGGAGGACTGGGGGAGGACTAAGGACGAGGAGGACTGAGGAGGAGGACTGAGGATGAGGAGGAGGAGAAGGAGGACTAGGGAGGACTGAGGAAGAGGAGGACTTAGGGAGGACTGAGGAGGAGGAGGACTGAGGAGGATGATGAGGAGGAGGACTGAGGATGAGGAGGAGGAGAAGGAGGACTGGGGGAGGACTGATGAGGAGGAGGACTGGGGGAGGACTGAGGAGCAGGAGGATGACTTAGGAGTAGGAGGAGAAGGAGGAGAAGGAGGAAAAGGATGAGAGGGAGGAGGAGGACTGAGGAGGAGGAGGAGGACTTAGGAGTAGGAGGAGAAGAAGGAGAAGGAGGACTGGCGAGGAGGAGGACTGACGAGGAGGAGAAGGACTGCGGAGGAGGAGGAGGACTGAGGAGAAGGAGGAGGAGGAGGACTGACGAGTAGGAGGAAGAGGAGGACTGTGGAGAACAAGATGACGACTGAAGAGGATGAGGAGGATGAGAAGGAGGACTGGGGGAGGACTGAGGAAGAGGAGGACTTGGGGAGGAGGATGAGGACGATGAGACTGATGAGGACTGAGGAGGAAGACTGAGGAGGATGAGGACGAGGACTAAGGACGAGGACTAAGGGCGAGGACTAGGAGGATGAGGACAAGGGCTAATGAAGAGGAGGAGGACGACTGAGGAGGAGGACTGATTAGGAGGAGAAGGAAGAGGAGAAGGAGGAGGAGGACTGAGGAGGAGGAGGAGGATGAGGAGGATGAGGACTGAGGAGGAATACTGAAGAGGACGAGGACTAAGGACGAGGAGGAGGCGGAGGACGACTGAGGAGGAGGAATGATTAGGAGGAGAAGAAAGAGGAGAAGAGGAGGAGGAGTAGGAGGAGGAGGAGAAGGAGGAGGATTAGGACTGGGGGAGGACTGAGGAGGAGGATAAGGAGGAGGAGGACTAAGGACGAGGATGAGGACGAGGACGATTATGAGGAGGACAGAGGATGAGGACTGATGAGGAGGAGAAGGAGGAGGAGGATGAGGAGGAGAAGGAGGAGGAGGACTGGGGGAGGACTCAGGAGGAAGAGGATGATGACTGAGGAGGAGGATGAGGACTGAGGAGGAGGACTCAGGAGGTGGACTCAGGAGGTGGAGGAGGATGAGAAGGACTCAGGAGGAGGAGGACGACTATGAGGAGGACTAAGGAGAACTGATGCCTGATGGGGAGGAGAAGGAGGATCAGGAGGAGAAATGAGGATGAGGAGGAGGAGAAGGAGAAGGAGAAGGAGAAGGAGGAGGACTGGGAGTAGGACTGAGGAGGAGAAGGGGATTGAGGAGGAGGGTGAGGAGGATTGAGGAGAAGGACGAGGACGAGGACGAGGAGTCAGGAAGAGGACTGAAGAGGACTGAGGAGGAGAAGGACTCAGGAGGAGGAAGACTTAGGAGGAGGAGGAGGAGGATATCTAAATGTTTTGTCTGTTTTTGTCCGCCCTACTTTTTGTCCGTTTTGAAAATACAGGGTACCGAACGGACACAAAACATGATCCCCCAGCCAAGCATGTGTTACGATACAAATGTACTTGACTATACATTTAAGGTGCAGTGTACTAGTGATATTATGGTATGTTTAAAGACCGGACCACAAAATATAACCCTAGTGTTGTACTAATACATAATAACAAGTAACAGGGATAAAATTAATGAGCAGAAACAATCGATCTCACGTCAAGAGGCCAAAGCACTCGGGTCTGGGAGTACATGACAACTCCAACTAGTAGTGAGCATACTAGCCCCTGCAGTGGAAAAACACATAAAACATACTATTGGAATGTCCAATTAGTTCGTTTTCTCATAACAATATAGCATATGTAGGGGTTTTTTATCACTTCCTCACTTCTGAGAGGTTTTAGAGATCGATTCTCTAAAATTTCTCAATTTTCCGATTTTTCCGATTTTTCCGATTCCGATTTTGGCCTCATCAACCCTCATATCGGACATCGGGTTGGACCCCCCCCCCCCCCCCCCACTGGTTACCATGGTAACTTACCGTGTGCACCTGGTTATCACGTGCACCTTTTGTCAGATATTTTAGTGAGAGATTGAGAGATTCTCAGCGTTAGTGCCACAAAACATTCATATTAGACCTATGATTAGCAGTGAAAAGATACAATTTTAGCTGAGTAAAGTGATGCATTTCTCCTTCGAATTGTACCTACTCGATATTAGAACAGGTGGGGGTATATAAGGGGTTCATAAGGGGTTTATAATGGGGTTTAACCCATGAGGGACAACGATTTTTAAAGTTCGCCCATTTTGATGCCATTTAACACACTAGGTCACTTCACTGCAAAAATGAGATATCCAATAAAGCTAATCTTTACCTCGTTTACCTTAAAAGATACAGCGATGGACAAAAACGACCCACTCGTCCGGGTTGCAAACGACCCATCACGTTTATAACGGGTTCATAACGTGTTTATAACGTGTTTATAAAGGATTTAAAGGTGGTTTATTAGGGGTTTATAAGGGGTTTATAAATAGTTTTAAATATCTTACGAAGTTGGCGTATGTCGAACGTCGTTGAATTAAATGGAATGTTATTTCCAGTGAAGTAGCCCTTGCACTTGTAGGACACCGCTGGAGAGAACAAACTTGCAGAATTCAATAATACGTCATTTGCTGCTAGCAGCAGGGTTGTACTGGTTGTAGATCCACTGATCAGGTTTAGAGTGGAGATCGAAGTGCTGTCCCTGACTAAGTCTGAAAATACACCATTAATCAGTAAAATTATAAATTGAAAGGATAACACGCAGAACTACATAACTATTAAATAATTAATGATTAAATAATAGTATATGCAGATTGGTTATATAAGTAGCAAAAATTGAACATAAACTAATTGAATATATTATTATGAGAAAGATTTTGTGGAAAATAAAGGTGAACTAGATGTAACTTACAGGACGCGCTGCTGGAGAAGCTGGATTGCAACAAAGTGTCAAGCTCTAGGGTACAGGACACTGATATAGTAGAACCGACTGTCGTGTATAGAGTACTTGGAGGAATAAAACCTGGGTAGTTGGGGCATGTTAACACGCCCTTATATGGCCATAACGTGACATGTTACCCCAGGGTAGTTTAGTCATGTTAACACGCCCTTATATGGCCATAACGTGACATGTTACCCCAGGGTAGCCGAGTTTTTTTAGGATTTACATATAACTCAGATTGGCAAATAATAGATTAACATATAATTTACATAATATTATACTTGATGAACATTGAGCATACAGTGGTGAATTCCATCCATTTACAATATAATACTAATAGTAAAGAAACGAAGTAACCATGGTAACGATGTAACAGTACTTACGTGGGATGCCAATGTAAAAGGCAGCCGAATCAACGGTCACCGTAGAATCGGTCGTAATAGCTCTACACTTGTAAGATCCAGAATCCGAAGCTGTGGGTGACTCAAAGAACAACTTCGACACCTGGAAATTAAGTGGTAATTAAGTGGTAATTAAGTGGTAATTAAGTGGTTATTAAGTGGTAATTAAGTGGTAATTAGGTGGTTATTAAGTGGTAATTACGTGGTCATTACGTGGTAATTAAGTGGTAATTAAGTGGTTATTAAGTGGTAATTACGTGGTAATTAAGTGGTAATTAAGTGGTAATTACGTGGTAATTACGTGGTAATTAAGTGGCAATCAACTGGTTATTAACTGGTAATTAACTGGTAATTGTTGACTTGAACAATTAGTGGGTGAATATTATAAACGTGGATCCTGGTTGGGAGCTGTGTATCATATTTGTTTTGACACGTGACTTTGGGTTTTGATTGGTCTATGTTCGGTCAATGCTTGAATCTGATTGGTTAATTGCTGTCACGAGTGCGAAAAAGTTACACTTCCAACCAGTTTCCAGTCCTTCGTATAGACATGAACTTTCACACAGCAGTACAACTCTTAAAAGGGTATTATAATTTTGAACAAAATGTTCACAAACCTGAACGAGATTTTGATAATAACTGGTCTGTGAGCTGACCAGACAGCCCGCTTTCTGTTCCAATTCAACATCGTCCTTGTACCTGAAACAGAGATTAATTAAAATAAGAAATTAGTAATTGTGAGGACGGTTGGTATTTTCATTATTTACACGTTATCACGTGATTACTTAGGTAGTTTACCTTTACTACAAACTGGTGTCGCACTGCAGTACGATTACCCCTCTAAGACTGCAGTACGTGACGCAATCAATCACGTAACGCGTCACATCACGTTTAGCTAGAACAAATTCACCATCACGTGATTGGTTGATCACTACCAACAGTGTCACGTGTCAGAAACGTCTGAACAGCTCCCAACCATGGTATCTAAATCTATCAAGTTTTAATAAATATTAATTAATTAAAATAAATAAATTAATTCAATTAATTAATTAATTAATTCATTCAATTAATCAATTAATTCAATTAATTTAAGTTGTTAAGTAATTATAATTATACGTTACCATTTCAGGCTGTCTGTGGCGTCACCCTCATATGTACAAGTAATGGTGTAAGCCGTCCCCGGGAGTGAATAAGTATTTCCAGACAGGGACGTTGTTATTTCTGAGGAAATATTATTTACGTTGTTATTTCTGAGGTTTCACTTCAGTGATTGGGCTGATGACTCCAGTGAAAGGGCTGGTGACTCTAGTGAAAGTGCTGGTGACGATGAGAAAGACCATAAACCAGGGATTCCTTCGGGAGCATGTAAGATTATATCCAAAGTTTGTTCGCCAATGGGGTGTGTCTGGGTGTCAAAGATCTTCAAGGTGGGTGCTACTTGTGATGAACTCTAGAAGGATATGATGGGGTGGTAATACTCGGTCTGGCCGTCTGGAAGCCGATAGAATTCCAGTTCAGAAACCGAGTAAGGAGGTGCGGCTACTGATGAGAAGCCTCCTTAAAGTTTATTTGGGTTAGAAACGACATCTGGGTCCCTACCCTCGCACAAGATTATTTTCAATTTTCTTGTTGTGTTCCACAACTATTTCTGGGGAAATACTATTTATTCATTCTGATTCATGGGAGCGTATCTCATTGATGATCGAATATTCAACCGTTTAACAATTCGCTTATTAATATTTCCAGATAGTAATTTTGAATTAGCTTGTATGATAGTAAAAACATGACAAGAAAACTATGTGATTTGTCAATTTTAGCTCTACTAATAAGTGAAGGGATAGTTCAGTGGACCGATGCTTTTTGAAATATCTAAAATGCCGCAAAATTGCTTACCTCGCTTATACAGATAAGCTTCGGTAGAATAAGCCATGGTATATGAAGTTACATAAATCCCTGCCACGTAAGCCGTGTATAAATCAGCTGTTACACTTGCTGTGTCTATTCGCAATTCTGAAGTCGGGGAAGCCGCTGTCGGTACTGTAACTGTGTATCCATCTACATCGTTTAAAGTGACCTGAAAAGAAAAATTTCAATCAATTAAAAAAACTTACTAAGCACTATTGTTTTGCCGTTGCTATAGTAACGTTAATATCACCGTTACTATCACCTTCACATGGTTGCTATAGTAACGTTACTTTAACCATTACTATCACCTTCACATGGTTGCTATAATAATGTTAATATTACCGTTACTATCACCTTCACATGGTTACTATAGTAACGTTAATATCACCGTTACTATCACCTTCACATGGTTACTATAGTAACGTTACTATCACCGTTACTATCACCCTCACATGGTTACTATAGAAACGTTAATATCACCGTTACTATCACCTTCACATGGTTACTATAGTAACGTTACTATCACCGTTACTATCACCCTCACATGGTTACTATAGAAACGTTACTATCACCATTACTATCATCTTCACATGGTTGCTATAGTAACGTTACTATTACCGTTACTATCACCTTCACATGGTTAATGGTTAATATAGTAACGTTACTATCACCATTACTATCATCTTCACATGGTTGCTATAGTAACGTTACTATTACCGTTACTATCACCTTATTCAAGTTATTTAAAAACTTACATAATATGAGGACCCCGGAATAACACCGTACCATAGTATTGTTTTATACAATATGGAACTCAGGGAGCCGTCCACAACGGCGGTGAAGGTAACTGCAGTTCCTGATTGGACGACTGAGGTTGGGTGGGTCACAAAGCCCTTAGCTGAAGTAAAAACTGGATTACTATACAATATACATTATACATATATACATACGTCATACATTATACTAAATATTTAATATATTATATCAAATAATTTTCAAAGGAAGAACTTTATTTCTAGCCTATACAATATTATATATATATAAATATATTATTATAACTGTTATTATTTGAAAGTGTTGAGTGTTGACTTACATGTGGGTTCCATCATCCTGAATGTGATGACACTGTTAGCGTCATATGTTATAGTACAGATGTATCCACTGCCACTCAAATCATTCTGTGAAGATTAACGTTATATCAGGAATAATACCAATTTTTTGTCTTATGCTGATTTGAAGGCCACTTAAGCATTCGCACCAGTCAAAAAAGTTGTATATCTTTTACAGTTTTTGAAGAAAGTCGTGTTAAAGTTGATACCGTGGTGTCAGTAAAATAGTACGGATTTATACATATATATTATATATCGTCTCATTTTATATATAGTAAGATGGTACTATTGTATAGTAAGATTACCTCATCAATCTTAATATTTTACTTCAAAATATTTTGAATTTAAGATTTATTTTAAAGTTTAAAAATAGATTTAACCAAAACACCCTCTAAGTCTAAGCTAAAAGACAGCATTTCGCTGATCAAATCAGTATCTTGTATATAATGATTATATGCTACTGTTTATTTTTACAGTGATTGGAGTAACACGTAACAATCGATTTAGATTCTGTTTTATCTTTAAACTTTAATATACTCTTAAGAATTTACAGTAAAATTCTTATTATTTAAATTGTACCGGTATAGATGCCCACGATAGAGTGGTCGTGGTCTTTTTGGTGTTAGGATCATACGTCTTGGTGGAAGTGGTTGCGGTCAAATCTGCATCGGAAGTCCTGTAAACAAATCCAGTTATCTTTAATTATAATACTCGAGACATTAAGACAGGGACTTTATTAGGAAACTGGGAAAATGTTACAAAATGTTTGCTTCATATTTACCAGGTAGCTGTGTCAGCCTCTTGGTAAAGTGTTACAAAATATTTGTTTCATATTTACCAGATAGCTGTGTCAGCCTCTTTGGGCCCAATTGCAACACACGGAGGAAGAGAGTACGCTGTATTGAATATTCCAGTATTGAATAATAATGTTAGTATAGACGGTTCGTCAACAATGCCTGGAAAAATGCATGTCATTCTTAGTTTTTACTTTTAGTCTTGAATGAATTGGTTTATATTTGGCAATAAATGTAAGTAATAATTAGATTTAAACGTTATTTTACTTTTAGAGCTTATAAAGTTATAAGACAACGTACTGATAATATCGAGAGTTCCGGAGTTAGAGGTCAAGCTACCCCCGTTGAAGTTCCCATTCAGTGCGTACTCTGCCTTGCAGTAGTAGTCACCTGCATCGTCTGGGGAGATGTGATAAAAATACCTTATTATAAATTTAAACTAGTAACTATAACAACTAGTAACTTTAGCAATTAGTAACTATAGCAACTAGAAACTATAGCAACTAGGAACTATAGCAACTAGTAACATTAATATCAGTTAGTAACTATAGCAACTGGTTAATACCACATTATACATTTAAAATAAATATATGTTATGCAATAATTGATAGGTTGAGGAGAGGCTGTTTTTTATTTAATTAATTTATATGTATTAATATATATTACAAATATGTATTAATTTATTACATATAAAATGTAATAAGGTAATAATAGAATGATAAACATATCAACAATCTGCATCATCAAGGCATTAAATTTAAAAGCACCGAGTTTCAGAACAAGAAACAAGATGACTGGTGGGAAGGTGAACACTTGACACGTGGCATTGCACGTGACACTGCACACTTGACACGTGGCATTGCACGTGACACTGCACACTTGACACGTGGCATTGCAAGTGACACTGCAAACTTGGCACGTGGCATTGCACGTGACACTGCAAACGTGACACATAACATTGCATTGTCAGACTGTTTATCTGTTTACCTATATTCACATCGTTTATCACCGTCATTTCTCCTACACCGGAAGTGGTCGAGAAGGAGTATTTATTAGTATCCGTCAGTTCAGTACTTCCCTGTGAGAGAGGAACTGTTATCTATCTTGTAACTATAGCAACTAGTAAGTAGTAACCGTTATCTATCCTGCATGTTTTCTAAATAATAGAAAATAAAGTTCTAGTGACAAAAGAGGGTAAATGTAACAAAAAAGAGTAAATTTAACAAAAGAGAGTAAATTTAACTGGGTTTAGATTATAGATATAATATTCTTTCATTGAAATGTTTCCCTGAAAATGTCGCACAATTTAATGACGACGAAGGCAGAACAATGACTGTACGGCATGAGTACTACGCTAGAACTGCCTTCAACTCAAACTTGTATCACCAAAATATTGGTAATCCACAAACAAAACATTTGTTACTATTGCAACTTAAGTAACTATAGCAAGTAGCAACTAGTAACACTAGCAACTAGTAACTATAGCACCTAGTAAATAAATCAACTAGTAACTATAGCAACTAGTAACTATAGCAACTAGTAACTTTAGCAACTAGTAACTATAGCAACTAGTAACTATAGCCACTGGTACCTATACTTATAGCAACTAGTAACTATAGCGAAGCTTGCTTTGCATAATGTCATGGATTTTAGGACTTATATCCATAGCGTCGCCAATACCAAAATTATTATGCAAAAAACATATAATCAAACATAGAATCATACATAGAATCATACACAGAATCTAACATAGAATCAAACATAGAATCAAATCCAGAGGATAAATGGACCTACCTTAAACCAGGAAATAGTAAGGGAGCTGTGATCGGAGGCGGTGCAAGAAATAGGACCTGCTTGGGAGTCACCGGACTTTGCTATCACAGCCGCAGGCTGACTCGTGATCACTGGAAGTGGCAGTGTTAAATTTGAGTAATAATACTTGTAGTTCCAAGTAATAACATTTACAGTTCCAAGTAATAATACTTACAGTTCCAAGTAATAATACTTACAGTTCCGAGTAATAACACTTACAGTTCCAAGTAATAATACTTACAGTTCCAAGTTATAATACTTACAGTTCCAAGTAATAACACTTACAGTTCCAAGTAATAATACTTGTAGTTCCAAGTAATAATACTTACAGTTCCAAGTGATAATACTTACAGTTCCAAGTAATAATACTTGTAGTTCCAAGTAATAATACTTGTAGTTCCAAGTTATAATACTTACAGTTCCGAGTAATAACACTTACAGTTCCAAGTTATAATACTTACAGTTCCAAGTAATAATGCTTACAGTTCCGAGTAATAACACTTACAGTTCCAAGTTATAATACTTATAGTTCCAAGTAATAACACTTACAGTTCCAAGCAATAATACTTGTAGTTCCAAGTAATAATACTTACAGTTCCAAGTAATAACACTTACAGTTCCAAGTAATAATACTTGTAGTTCCAAGTAATAATACTTACAGTTCCAAGTTATAATACTTACAGTTCCAAGTAATAATGCTTACAGTTCCAAGTAATAATACTTACAGTTCCAAGTTATAATACTTACAGTTCCAAGTAATAACAAAATGGTGTACTAACCGAGGGGGATGAGGTTGGCTTGTGAAGATGTGTAGGTGGTGGAAGAGTACTAACCGAGGGGGTGAGGTTGGCTTGTGAAGATGTGTAGGTGGTGGAAGAGTACTAACCGAGGGGGATGAGGTTGGCTTGTGAAGATGTGTAGGTGGTGGAAGAGTACTAAACGAGGGGGTTGAGGTTGGCTTTTGAAGATGTGTAGGTGGTGGAAGAGTACTAAACGAGGGGATGAGGTTGGCTTGTGAAGATGTGTAGGTGGTGGAAGAGTACTAACCGAGGGGGTGAGGTTGGCTTGTGAAGATGTGTAGGTGGTGGAAGAGTACTACCGAGGGGGATGAGGTTGGCTTGTGAAGATGTGTAGGTGGTGGAAGAGTACTAACCGAGGGGGTGAGGGTTGGCTTGTGAAGAGTGTAGGTGGGTGAAGAGTACTAAACAGAGGGGGAGGGCTTGGTTTTGAAGATGTGTAGGTAGGTGGTGGAAGAGTACTAACCGAGGGGGTGGGGTTGGCTTGTGAAGATGTGTAGGTGGTGGAAGAGTACTAAACGAGGGGATGAGGTTGGCTTGTGAAGATGTGTAGGTGGTGGAAAAGTACTAACCGAGGGGGATGAGGTTGGCTTGTGAAGATGTGTAGGTGGTGGAAGAGTACTAACCGAGGGGGTGAGGTTGGCTTGTGAAGATGTGTAGGTGGTGAAAGAGTACTAACCGAGGGGATGAGGTTGTCTTGTGAAGATGTGTAGGTGGTGGAAGAGTACTAACCCAGGGAGATGAGGTTGGCTTGTGAAGATGTGTAGGTGGTGAAAGAGTACTAACCGAGGGGGTGAGGTTGTCTTGTGAAGATGTGTAGGTGGTGAAAGAGTACTAACCGAGGGGGCTGAAGTTGGCTTTTGAAGATGTGTAGGTGGTGGAGGAATCCGTTACTTCACACACGTAAGTGTCTGTAGTGGACACAGTGTATTGAAATATCAACACGCTGAAATAAGGATAAAGTTAAAGTCGATTTCTTTGTTAGTGGAACTTTTCAGGAAGTTGAGAGTGGTGCGCGTGGGATCTTTAAAATAAATAACAACGTTAACAACGTTAACAACGTTAACAACATTAACAAAGTTAACAGCATTAACAGCACTTTATATGCAAGGGCCCAATCTTATTGCGGGTGTGGTATTCATTACTGCATAATTTCGTGTTTTGGTGACTCTCTTTCGGGATACCGGGCTTCTGTTAACTGGGGCTAGATTGGTTTTCTTCTTGTATTCTGGATTTATTTAAATTCATTCATTTCTGTATAATCATGTATTCTTTGAAAAGATTTAAGATATATAAGATAAAATTAACAACATGAAAATTAATAGTCACCTGGTGAAGGAAGTGCCAGAGTAAGTGTTAGTTATGGAGGTTCCCGATCCAGCTGTTACTGTATTTTCGGAGCTAAGTCCTTCTTTCCAGACCACAGTCGGCTCTGTCAGGGTGGAGGCAACACAGGATAAGGTTACAAGAGCTCCTTGTACGACATTGTCAGAGGTCGGAGATGTGATTATTCCTGGCGGGGGGGGGGTTATTCAGTGGGGGTTTATCTAGTGGGGGTTTATTTAGTGGGGGTTTATTTAGTGGGGGTTTATTTAGTGTGGGGTTATCTAGCGGGGGGTTTATTCAGTGGGGGTTTATTTAGTGGGGGTTATTTAGTGGGGGTTTATTTAGTGGGGGTTTATCTAGTGAGGGGTTTATTTAGTGGGGGGTTATCTAGTGGGGGGTTTATTTAGTGGGGGTTTATTTAGTGGGGGTTATCTAGTGGGGGTTTATTTAGTGGGGGTTATTTAGTGGGGGTTTATTTAGTGGGGGGTTATCTAGTGGGGGGTTTATTTAGTGGGGGTTATTTAGTGGGGGTTTATTTAGTGGGGGGTTATCTAGCGGGGGGATTATTTAGTGGGGGTTTATTTAGTGGGGGGTTTATCAGTTATCTAGTGGGGGGTTATCTAGCGGGGGGTTTATTTAGTGGGGGGTTATCTAGCGGGGGGTTTATTTAGTGGGGGGTTATTCAGTGGGGGTTTATTTAGTGGGGGTTATTTAGTGGGGGTTTATTTAGTGGGGGGTTTATTTAGTGGGGGTTTATTTAGTGTGGGGTTATCTAGTGGGGGGTTTATTTAGTGGGGGTTTATTTAGTGGGGGTTATCTAGTGGGGGGTTTATTTAGTGGGGGTTATTTAGTGGGGGTTTATTTAGCGGGGGGTTATCTAGTGGGGGGGTTTATTTAGTGGGGGGTTATTTAGTGGGGGTTTATTTAGTGGGGGGTTATCTAGCGGGGGGTTTATTTAGTGGGGGGTTTATTTAGTGGGGGGTTTATCAGTTATCTAGTGGGGGGTTATCTAGCGGGGGGTTTATTTAGTGGGGGGTTATCTAGCGGGGGGTTTATTTAGTGGGGGGTTATCTAGTGGGGGTTTATCTAGTGGGGGTTTATTTAGTGGGGGTTATTTAGTGGGGGTTTATTTAGTGGGGATTATCTAACGGGGGGTTTATTAGTGGGGGTTTATTTAGTGGGGGGTTTATCAGTTATCTAGTGGGGGGTTATCTAGCGGGGGTTTATTTAGTGGGGGGTTATCTAGCGGGGGGTTTATTTAGTGGGGGGTTATCTAGTGGGGGGTTTATCTAGTGGGGGTTTTATCTAGTGGGGGGTTATCTAGCGGGTGGTTTATTTAGTGGGGGTTTATTTAGTGGGGGTTTATCTAGTGGGGGTTTATCTAGTGGGGGGTTTATTGAGTGGGGGGTTATTCTAGCGGGGGGTTTATTTAGTGGGGGTTTATTTAGTGGGAGGTTATCTAGTGGGGGGTTTATTTAGTGTGGGGTTATCTAGTGGGGGGTTTATCTAGTGGGGGGTTTATTTAGTGGGGGGTTTTTGACTTTTCAACTCTAATGCTGATATAATTTCCCATGAGTATAAAAGTTGGCGTAACAACATATATCATGATGGCTTAGTGTCAAGCAGAGCTATGGTACAGTGAACAAAAAAAACAATGGTAGATTGTCTCCTGTGTACATCAGTACGTGGATTCGATCTCCAAAAGTTGGTACCTTAACAATCTGTCTGAGTAAAATCGTGATAAATCGTAATAAAAGCTGGCCAGTACAATTAACCGCTCACCTGATACAGTAACAGTAGCAGTAGAACTCTCAATAGATCCAGTAAAGTCCTGGAGGGTCACAACGCACTTCCAGATCCCCGCGTCACCAACAGCAGCCGGGAATATTTTCATCAGTGAGGTGTAGACCGAGTTATCAAACGTGTCCTCTATTGTTCTGATGTGGAACCATGAATAAGTCACTAATTGTTGAGGAATACTACAAATAACTCACTAATTGTTGAGGAATACTAAAAAATATGCCACTAATTGTTCAGAAATACTGCTATACTAGACTTTGTAATATCATGCCAATTGAGTGAATGTCAGTATTTCAAACATCTTAATGAAGGAGCACTAACCCGTCGAATTCGAAGTTGTCAGTGGTTCTGACCCATTTGATGGTCGGGGTAGCAAATGTGGAGACAGTGGAAGGTCCGAACTTGCAGGTGAGGGTACCCTGACCACCCACAGTGTAATCTCCTCCCGTCGGGTTCTCAGTTATAGCTGAATATCACGTGGTTAGTTCTCCAGATAAACAGGTATATCACGTGGTTAGTTCTCCAGATAAACAGGTATATCACGTGGTTAGTTCTCCAGATAAACAGGTATATCACGTGGTTAGTTCTCCAGATAAACAGGTATATCACGTGGTTAGTTCTCCAGATAAACAGGTATATCACGTGGTTAGTTCTCCAGATAAAACAGGTATATCACGTGGTTAGTTCTCCAGATAAACAGGTATATCACGTGGTTAGTTCTCCAGATAAACAGGTATATCACGTGGTTAGTTCTCCAGATAAACAGGTATATCACGTGGTTAGTTCTCCAGATAAACAGGTATATCACGTGGTTAGTTCTCCAGATAAACAGGTATATCACGTGGTTAGTTCTCCAGATAAACAGGTATATCACGTGGTTAGTTCTCCAGATAAACAGGTATATCACGTGGTTAGTTCTCCAGATAAACAGGTATATCACGTGGTTAGTTCTCCAGATAAACAGGTATATCACGTGGTTAGTTCTCCATATAAACAGGTATATCACATGGTTAGTTCTCCAGATAAACAGGTATATCACGTGGTTAGTTCTCCAGATAAACAGGTATATCACGTGGTTAGTTCTCCAGATAAACAGGTATATCACGTGGTTAGTTCTCCAGATAAAACAGGTATTATCACGTGGTTAGTTCTCCAGATAAACAGGTAATCACGTGGTTAGTTCTCCAGATAAACAGGTATATCACGTGGTTAGTTCTCCAGATAAACAGGTATATCACGTGGTTAGTTCTCCAGATAAACAGGTATATCACGTGGTATAGTTCTCCAGATAAACAGGTATATCACGTGGTTAGTTCTCCAGATAAACAGGTATATCACGTGGTTAGTTCTCCATATAAAACAGGTATATCACATGGTTAGTTCTCCAGATAAACAGGTATATCACGTGGTTAGTTCTCCAGATAAACAGGTATATTCACGTGGTTAGTTCTCCAGATAACAGGTATATCACGTGGTTAGTTCTCCAGATAAACAGGTATATCACGAGGTTAGTTCTCCAGATAAACAGGTATATCACGTGGTTAGTTCTCCATATAAACAGGTATATCACGTGGTTAGTTCTCCAGATAAACAGGTATATCACGTGGTTAGTTCTCCAGATAAACAGGTATATCACGTGGTTAGTTCTCCAGATAAACAGGTATATCACGTGGTTAGTTCTCCAGATAACAGGTATATCACGTGGTTAGTTTCTCCATATAAACAGGTATATCAGCGAGGTTAGTTCTCCAGATAAACAGGTATATCACGTGGTTAGTTCTCCAGATAAACAGGTATTTCACATGGTTAGTTTCTCCATATAACAGGTATATCACGTGGTTAGTTCTCCAGATAAACAGGTATATCGACGTGGTTAGTTCTCCAGATAAACAGGTTATCTATCACGTGGTTAGTTCTCCAGATAAACAGGTATATCACGTGGTAGTTCTCCTAGATAAACAGTATATCACGTGGTTAGTTCTCCAGATAAACAGGTATATCACGTGGTTAGTTCTCCAGATAAACAGGTATATCACGTGGTTAGTTCTCCAGATAAACAGGTATAGAAAACATTAAGTATAATAGAGATTAGCCCGTATAGTTCGCTTCATTGAATATGAGATAGGGAAATGACTCACCAATCTGGTTAAGAGTTATCTCAGGGGACTGAACGGTAACCCTGGCGATGTTGAGCTCTGCGGTGACCTTGTAGGTACTGGTGATGTCTCCAGCGGAGACCGCAGACCCGAATACGATTTCAGAAGTTGTGACTCCTGTTCCGACGTCATAGACGTTATTTATCGTCTGAAAATGAGAATAGTTTAGGACACATTTTTTCAGGATGATTTAATGGGCTATCCCACTTCGTATAATCCTATCCTTGGAAGCAAAATCTATCTAAAATTATATAGAAACTGAGACTATATTTTAATTTACTGAAATTATAAAATACATTTATGTAGTAAAGTGAGACTAGTTACTGGAATTATATAATAGGAAACTGAGACTAGTTACTGGAATTATATAATAGGAAACTGAGACTAGTTACTGGAATTATATAATAGGAAACTGAGACTAGTTACTGGAATTATATAATAGGAAACTGAGACTAGTTACTGGAATTATATAATATGAAACTGAGGTCTGAGACTAGTTACTGGAATTATATAATAGGAAACTGAGACTAGTTACTGGAATTATATAATAGGAAACTGAGACTAGTTACTGGAATTATATAATAGGAAACTGAGACTAGTTACTGGAATTATATAATATGAAACTGAGGTCTGAGACTAGTTACTGGAATTATATAATAGGAAACTGAGACTAGTTACTGGAATTATATAGGAAACTGAGACTAGTTACTGGAATTATATAATATGAAACTGAGACTAGTTACTGGAATTATATAATAGGAAGCTGAGACTAGTTACTGGAATTATATAATAGGAAACTGAGACTAGTTACTGGAATTATATAATATGAAACTGAGACTAGTTACTGGAATTATATAATAGGAAACTGAGACTAGTTACTGGAATTATATAATAGGAAACTGAGACTAGTTACTGGAATTATATAATATGAAACTGAGACTAGTTACTGGAATTATATAATATGAAACTGAGACTAGTTACTGGAATTATATAATATGAAACTGAGACTAGTTACTGAATATATAATAGGAAACTGAGACTAGTTACTGGAATTATATAATAGGAAACTGAGACTAGTTACTGGAATTATATAATAGGAAACTGAGACTAGTTACTGGAATTATATAATAGGAAACTGAGACTAGTTACTGGAATTATATAATATGAAACTAATATAAAAATCCCATAGTTTCAGCGAAACTTACATCAGCCATATGGGCGCTGTTTTTGAACCACACGATGTTGGTCGCCTCCTCATTAGCCGTTATCTTGGCTGTCAGTGTTAAAGAACTACCCACAAACCCGTACGCGGGTTCTACTGCCGCGTCTGACAAAACAAGTGTGTTATTAAATGATATCCACGTTTCAATTTACAACAGATGAAAACACAGTTAGAAGATGTTTTGCTAGAACTAAGCATCACAAGATAAAAGGACAATGACTTACGAGAGACAGATAGCGCAGCATCAGTTGTCGTCTTCTGATTTGAACTGGCGTAGATTATCGTACACGCGTACGCAGCCTCATCAGCCGTTTCCAGAGTTGATATAACTAGTTTGGAGGTCCAGCTGAGGGTGGATGAGTCATAAGCTTGGGTTATTGTTGATCTGGGGATGTTAGCATCATAGGAGGCTCCGGTGGTAAGAGCCTTCTTTGCCCAGGTTGGGGCTGACGTGGTGGTTTGTCCAGTGAATACTGCAGTGAAGGTCGCAGATTCTCCTAGGTCCCCCACAGTGTGGACCGGGGGTGTTATTACTCCTGCAGAGGATTTAGATTATTGTTTGCAAACTTATATCGACTCCCCAAAACTCTATATGTGTCTGATGTCAAATTAATTTTAAGCAATCAGAGAAAAATAAGAAAAAGAAAAGATTCAGAATGGATGATAATTGAATTTACACAATAAAATTACACAAACCTTCTATAAAGACTCTGATGATGTCGGAGGTTATGGCTTTAATATCTTCGTAGGTAATGACGCACCAATAATAACCTGAGAATAGTACAGTGGTTAACAAGCTAACTTCATTACTTTCCTCGTGAATAACCGTTTCATTTTACTTGTTATATACCGTTTTCTGCTTGATTGGTCCAACTGAAAAATTCGTTTTGTGTGACCAGTTAACAATAATGTAATTTAAAAGTTAAATTTCTTACCAGTATCAGAGATAATGACGGAGGATAAAGTGAGGGTAGCTGTAGTATGAGTAGTCGGAGATACAATACCTGGAGAGGGTACTGTGTATTAAGGTTCAGTATTAAGGATTCAACTAACTATCTCGTTATAGCTACCACAAGTTGGGCTCTCTCCAGTACTGTTTGACTATTATGGCTAATCAACTTCAATCCCACCTCATGAAGTAGAATATACTTCTAGCTACCTTTAATTCTGCTATCTCCATGTCATGCCTATTCTACACAGCTACCACCAGCACGTTATAATTTTAGCACTTTTTTGGAAACCTCTAAATGCTACCTCCTGCTCTATACAGGTACCACCACTACCAGTGGGCAGAAACCACCAATTCCAGCTCTTTTCACCTATTTCGGCTACATATATTTAAATACTACTGCAAGTCGCCCTGGCCCCTCCAATCTCTGCTCTTTCTAGCAAACTTAACTTAAGCTACCTCTTGCCTTACCACCATTCTGGCTTTTTCCGGCTGCCACAGCTGCATTATACAATTTTCAGCTCATTGAGAAAGAGGAAACCTGCTATTTCTAGCAACCTCTAAATGCTACTAATTTGAGCAGAATTAGAAAGTAGTCTGAGCTTGCTGGATAGTGCTAGAATTTGCAGTTGCTAGTGATAGCTGAAAAGAATAGGAGTAAGTTTTGAGGTTGCTGGATAGGGCTAGGATTTTCAGGTGTTAGTGGTAGCATAACAACAATTATTGGGTGTTGGTGGAAGCTACATAGAGCAGGATTCAGGAAGTAGCATTCAGAGAATGCTAGAAAGAGCTAGAGTGGACGTAGCAGAATTGAAGGGAACTAGAAGTAGATTTTACTATATGAGGTTATTATTATTATTATGTACATGCATTTATCAAAAATGCTAGAAATAAGATACGTTAGTCTTACCAGATGTACAGAACTCCTTGGTGTCAACATAATCCGTGTCCAGACGTATATAGTCTGCACCTCCTTCAGGAACAATTGTGTGTGTCACTGTACCGTCTATTTGCACTAACACCTGGTTGATTTCAGTTAAAATTTAGCAAAAACCTCTGATAAGCTTAGCTTGAAGCCGAGAAAGGCATTGTGGCATTATTTTGCAAATATAGTGTGCACCTTGAGCAGATTGGGCGACATCTGTCCGACTCAGAAAATATGTTATTCGGACAATAGTTTATGTCGGATCCTACCGTGCGATTTTCTTGAAACTTTCCATAAAGTATGGTGATTATAGGACGAATAATCTTTGTAAGTTTGAGCGAGTTTCTATGTGCAAAAGATTGCTCTAGTGATAACTCAAATCCCAGCTATTACATTTGCAAATAATTATTGAAATACTACCTTTATTAGATCAAGTCCATCATTTCCTCCATTCCTCAGAGATATACATTCGTAATCCCCGATGTCAATATCACTCTCAAAAACACACATAACATCTTGGTTGATTACATTGAAGTCTGCATTACACAGATGTTCAGCTGTTCAGCTCCATTTGATCCTTTAATGCTAACAAACTGAGGGCTTGTACTTTTTGCGATCATACCATTCCATATAGAGTAAGTAATCTTGTACTCAATCGCTGTAATCTTGTACTCAACCCCTGAAATAACAGTTTTTTAATATTTGGACTGGTCCAAATCAAGCTGTTGTCCCAGTAAACCGAAAAACCTGTCCATAATTTTTGACTTTTTCTGAATAAACTAAGCGAGTTTATCCCACCATCTACCATACCTATCATCAAGCAATACGGACCTTCCCTCCTCCCAATATGTTCAATGTTTATATCAGATCAAAATATTCCACATTACAGGGTGATAATGATAGTGTTATTCAGATTGCTCAAGTGATAACTCAAATCCCAGCTAGTATATTTATATTTGCAAATAATTATTGAAATACTACCTTTATTAGATCAAAAGTGGAATATCAATATTCCACTTTATGCGAGATCAGTATGGAAAATATGAATTGGAATTGGGGAGTATATTATACTACCAAATAAAATACAACTAAGGTACTATGACTTTTGAAAATTGGCGTTATATCTAAACATTATTCCTCAGTCAGAACGTTGAATGAATATCGATAGGGGCGTCGAGTTGGGCAATTGCTACGACAAAATTAACCGGACAAATGTAACCGTCGAGACAAGTTCTGGAACTAACTGGTCCAAGTAATGTAAGAGTTTAAGTAATGTACGCAGTGTGCTGGAGTTTTGCCAGCGCCTGCAATTAGACCGATACGTAGATCAAGTGTATGTATAGTTCTTACATAAAGCCATAGATCACGTGACATTTTTTACCAATGCGCGTCGTAGTAGTTAGTCACGTGATACACGTCATCAGAACACGTGACAGTGCGCGGTTGAAATTATCATGGAATATCAATACAAAACAAATCTTGTTGAGCCAAATTAGCGGGGCGGGATTATAGAAGCTGTGCGGGGTTATTTATTCAGCGGGAAAAAACTAACAGCGGGAGCCGGGATTATCAGAATCTATCTAGCGGGAGCCGGGATTATCAGAATCTTATTCTAAGCCGGAGGGGTTTATAATGATAGTGTTATTCAGAACGCTCATTCTAACCTGTTATGGAGTTGATTACTTGCTGTGTTGCAAGTAAATTGTCTGTAAGACTTTTTTAGTCCAGGATACCAAAATTAAGTACATGTTTGATGTTACTATTTTACGATGCACAAATGTTAAAACAGTTTTTAATAAATATCTCCAAAAACTAAGCACTATAAACCCTATGTTGCTTTATAGCTTGTATGTTAATGTGGCCTTTGCAGTTAGTTTTGGCTTAAAGAGAGTCTCTTACAACGTTCAGAAGCCGAGATACAAAAGTCATATATTTACGCCTGATGGTAATTTAGAAATTTCCCCCTAGGGTTGGAACTACTGATAGAAATTGCGTACCTTATCAATTCTGACTCAGAATGACCTTACAAAGGACCTAGTTTCTAGAAAAGTGGTAAACATCAAACTGCATACTCGATTTCAATAAGCTTCTAGAGTAGATTTTTTTCACTCGCCCCAGTGAAAATCAGTTTTTCTGGATTTTTTCCAAAAGTAAGCATTTTGGGCCTTTTATATAGTGTCAATATAAACATGAGCATTGCGGTCATTTCAAGCCAAAGTTTAAGTCTCTAAGACCCTCAAACTAGCTGAGATACAAATTTGATGAAATTTGTGCTTACGCCTGAGCTTAAAATTAGTTTTTTGCAGAAATCTCGGAAACAAACAATTTTAGACCATACATTGATTAATAATTTGTAGATAAATGTGGCCATTGCAGTAATTTTAAGTAAAAAATGAAGTCTCTATGACCTTCAGGAGCCGAAATACAAAAATCCCGTATACGCGACTGAGGGTAATTTAGAAAATTTGCCCTGTAGGGTTGTCTACAGCGAAACAAATTGTGCACCTAAACGATTTTGGTTTAGAATGACCCAACATACAACCCTGTGTTGTCAGAAATCGTGTACATCTCAACTACTCCCTGCTACTATAGTAAACGAACAAGCTCCTAGTAGTTTTTGTCAGACACTTAGATTAAATTGCTAGTCAGTTTTGACTGCAGCAGGTTTATCAAATAGTGAATATATGCAATATCTGCAATATCTGCAATATCTGCAATATCTGCAATATCTGCAATATCTGCAATATCTGCAATATCTGCAATATCTGCAATATCTGCAATATCTGCAATATCTGCAATATCTGCAATATCTGCAATATCTGCAATATCTGCAATATCTGCAATATCTGCAATATCTGCAATATCTGCAATATCTACAATATCTGCAATATCTGCAATGTCTGCATGCAGACATTGCAATATCTGCAACATTTGCAATATTTGCAATATCTGCAATATTTGCAATATCTGCAATATCTGCAATATCTGCAATATCTGCAATATCTGCAATATCTGCAATATCTGCAATATCTGCAATATCTGCAATATCTGCAATATCTGCAATATCTGCAATATCTGCAATATCTGCAATATCTGCAATATCTGCAATATCTGCAATATCTGCAATATCTGCAATATCTGCAATATCTGCAATATCTGCAATATCTGCAATATCTGCAATATCTGCAATATCTGCAATATCTGCAATATCTGCAATATCTGCAATATCTGCAATATCTGCAATATCTGCAATATCTGCAATATCTGCAATATCTGCAATATCTGCAATATCTGCAATATCTGCAATATCTGCAATATCTGCAACGGTAAAGTATGTGTAGTGACTCACCAGAATGTATCCCGTTACCGTCGTGGTACCACGCTATTGATTTGAATTTTGTTGCATCGGGTCCGTAAGTGTCTGCATTAAGAGTCAATACGATGTCGCTACCCACAACTCCAACAATATCTGACTGTGTGGACCGCCAACCATCCACTGAAATGTATTCGAGTTTTAAGCAAGATAAGCTCAGCAAAATACTCATGATGGATTTACAGGGTGTTTCCATAAAATTGTGACTATTTTGAATAAAGGGAACAATTTTCATAAAAGAGCGGTTGCCAAAATGTTCATGACACAGTGTCAGTCAATATGTGTGGACTTACCGTAAACGTTTAGGTTGCCGGATGAAGTGACAGTTTTACCAGCATTGACTACAACACAGGTATACGCTCCGTCGTGTGTAGCACTTTCAACATTTGCTAACACTAGCTCGTTCGTCAAGCTGAGTAGTTATAAATTAAGTAATTAAGTAATTAAGTAATTGAGTAATTGAATAATTTGGTAATTAAGTAATTAAGTTATTTAGTTATTTAGTTATTTATTTATTTAGTTATTTAGTTATTTAGTTATTTAGTTATTTAGTTATTTAGTTATTTAGTTATTTAGTTATTTAGTTATTTAGTTATTTAGTTATTTAGTTATTTAGTTATTTAGTTATTTAGTTATTTATTTATTTAGTTATTTAGTTAGTTAGTTGCTTAGTTATTTAGTTGCTTAGTTATTTAGTTATTTATTTATTTAGTTATTTAGTTATTTAGTTATTTAGTTATTTAGTTATTTAGTTATTTAGTTATTTAGTTATTTAGTTATTTAGTTATTTAGTTATTTAGTTATTTAGTTATTTAGTTATTTAGTTATTTAGTTATTTAGTTATTTAGTTATTTAGTTATTTAGTTATTTAGTTATTTAGTTATTTAGTTATTAGGACGCTCCGTCCTAATGAGTTCAGGAGACCATTCGCTACAAGTATATCATCTAAAACCTGGGTTTTGGACTTGTTCAGGGTATTTTGTAAAATTGGGCCTAATTTGGACCAAATATGGGCGTGGCTGCCCCGCGGGAGCAGTTCGCCGGTTGGTGTCCGGGACCCCTTCAAAAGTTCGGTCACCGGTCGTAGTTTGTTGGTCAAAACTCAAACTGCTATCTCGAAATCAACTTTCACAAAAAATATTGTGTATTTTTTTTTTTTTTTTATTTAATGGGCCAATTTGGCCCATCGAAAATCTTTAATTACAATCAAATATAAATTAAATCAAATATAAATATATGCACACATGCATCAATATGATAACGCTATTAGCAAATTTAGATATTACCTACTATTACAAATTTTTAGATAACTCTTATCTTCTTACCTCTTGACATAAATTTAGAACTAAACAGAGAACATTTGATAAAGATAGTCATATTTAAAGGTAAACGTTTTGTGTTTGGTGATGTTGCACCAAATTATTTAAGTTTCTAAAAGTACGAAATTTGAATCGTTCCAGTCCTATTCATTCGGCTCAAGTGCTTGTGTAGTAAGAAAATTGTTGTTGACTGTTATGTAGACTTGAATGAATTTAAGAATTTGTCTTGTAGGCAAGTGATCGTGATGTTTTTTATGTCCTGGTTAATAATGTTGATCGTTTTGTTGTATAACTTAGGGCCAATGTAAAAATGCTCTTGTCTGAGTAAACAACAAAAACATAAACTGTTGAACGGTTCTGCAAAGAACTAAGGTTATCTTCTAGGTGCGTTTAACTTGAAGTTTGAAGCAGTGAACATTCTTATAATATTTGGTGACGCAGTGTTAGGAAGTACTAAACGTATTTGTGATGATCTTATGTATCATTTGTCATTACTCTTCCAGTCTCACAATCGAGATATTGGCAGACAAATTTCATTAACGTTTACCGACTTCCCTGCGAGCCTTTCTGATGACGCAGATTTGCAATGATAATTATAATTATTTCCAATATTTAGTAATAGTAGGCCTAAAACACAAAGTAGGCCTAAAACACAAAGTAGGCCTAAAACACAAAGTAGGCCTAAAACACAAAGTAGGCCTAAAACAGAAAGAAAAGGCTCTCTCCTTACGTTTTGACGCCGTCAGTAGTGGAGGAGCTTGTTTGTGAGCCACCATTTGATCCTTGAGGTGTAGTCCAAGTGATGGTCTGAGCTGTACCGTACGTTATACAGGTAAGGGTAATACTGGTTCCTGCTACTGCTTGTCTGTTAGGTATAGGCGTCGCGATATCTGCAAATATTTGAATTATAAACCCCAACATTCAGAACCACAACTTATTACAATTTACAACCCCCACCAATTATAGTACAGACAGATCCGTCAAAAAAAAACCCGATTTACCCACAGTCCTCACAACGAGCTTGCAAAGGAGTTTTGACATTTTTGAGTCCCACTAGGTGTCCTTTGTGGCTGACCAATTTTTCACCCATACCGCCTAACCAGGCAGTCATCATTCCTATGTTCCAACTGATAGGTATATTTCAATTCGTTCCAGAATATTTCCGATCATCTTCTGATGATCTCGTATATTTCCAACATATAAATCTTTATACAGTGCCACATTAATAACATGAAAGAATCGTCACTAAAAATGCACTAAAAATTAAGTCATGATTTTTGACATTTTTCCAATTCCTGAGCTCTTGGTCACCGCAGTAATAGGATACGAGTCGTATAGTGTGGCGTCACAAACGACCAGTACCTAGCCCTCAGACTTATACTTACAACTCACGTGACGTCACAGTTAACATGACGTCACGATAGCGTCATGATGACGTCACATGGTGTAAAATCACGTGACGTGTGGCGTCACAAACGACCAGTGACTGACAGGAACCTAGCCCTCAGACTTATACTTACAACTCACGTGACGTCACAGTTAACATGACGTCACGATAGCGTCATGATGACGTCACATGGTGTAAAATCACGTGACGTGTGGCGTCACAAACGACCAGTGACTGACAGGAACCTAGACCTCAGACTTATACTTACAACTCACGTGACGTCACAGTTAACATGACGTCACGATAGCGTCATGATGACGTCACATGGTGTAAAATCACGTGACGTGTGGCGTCACAAACGACCAGTGACTGACAAGAACCCAGCCCTCAGACTTATACTTAAGTCCAATGAAGGTTTGTGAGCATCCCAATGTTTTTGGGTAAATGATAGAGTTTGATAAATATAAATAACAACTACTGAAAAGGTAAAGTTAACACACAAACTTACAGACAGCGACGACTTGTTTTTCTGAAGACTCCAGGACTCCGATGTTACTGTAGGTAGCAAAACACTTGTACTTTGCAGTGTCAGTACTTGCCAGGGGAGATAGAGTCAACACACTGTCACGTGTTGTTCCGTATGTGTCAGAGACCACACCTGTTTTAATATTTGTTTAACTCAAACACAAGGAAAACTTTTGTAATCATCGTCTTAAGTGTCCAAGGCCCAACGAAGTCAACTTGGTATGATTGTTCTAGTTCTAAATATATTGACTATTAGACCAGAGTCTGCTGCAAACAATTTTCCAATCTCACTCCACCTGACATGACGTCACACCACCTGACATGACGTCATACCACCTGACATGACGTCACACCACCTGACATGACATCACACCACCTGACAACTCACCTGATGTAACTAAGGTTCCATCTCTCTCCCACTCGAAGGTAAGTATAGCGCTAAGAGGGGTTGGCATGGTTGCTGTACACGTTAACTGAATAGATACTCCTAGGATATCTACTACTTGTGCCGTGTCGTATGTGAGAGCTGAAGTAGAGTGTCAGTTAGATGAAATGCTTTATTAGAAACATATTAATGAGGAAGCAATGAGACTACTAATCTTACAACAAGTTACTTCTAACACTGATCAGTGCAACATTATAAACTAAGAGACAATAAACTTACTCAGAACATTGAGGGTAGCAGTTGGTATACAGATGGCACTTTCAGTTCTGGAGGCAATAACAGCAGAACAAGCGTAGATACCTGCGCTACTGGAGGTCACTCCAGATAATGTCTGCACACACTCGTATGTGTTAGCAGCAGTAGTGTGAGCACTGAGAGAGGTAAAATCAGAAACTGAAATTTCAAGTTCCTGGCAATTACCAGCGGTGCGTGATTTTAAAGAATTAGAGTGCCTAAATCAACTGTCACTAAGATTATTGACATACCTAAACGAGGCCCCGCCGGAATTGGCAATGGAACTGCCTTCTTTGGTCCAAGAGCATTTAGAGTGATCGTTTAAAGTAGGAGTGTCGCCAGTAACTACAGTACAAGTCAGCTGGACGTTAGATCCAGCTGTGAAGTAGCCGCTCTGTCCAATTGTTGTTGTCACCTCTGGGAGAAGATTCATTAGTAACCAATAGTAACCATTAGTAACCATTAGTAACCATTAGTAACCATTAGTAACCATTAGTAACCATTAATAACCATAAGTAATCAATAGTAATCGTTAGTAACCATTGGTAACCAATTGTAACCAAAGTTTAAAAGAAAATATGTAAAATCACTTACTACTACAACTAGTAGGTGTGGTGCTGCAGGCTTCCGTTTTAGTACTCTGACCATCGATATAGTACTCATTCTGGCAGAATGTGGTAATTGTGGTACCAGTTGCCACGTTAGTTCCAGCAAGTGGATACATACCGCTCGAGAAGGTTGCAGTGGGGACCGTGCATACGGCTGAAAAAGAAGGTAACGTGTTGTTTTACTATAATGCAACGGAAATATGTTGATTTAGTTACGAGAAGATAAAGAAAATTCATCCGTGGACAATACTGAATAATTAGTAATGAACCTAAACAAATACCCTGAACCAGTCGATATAACTAACCTATGCAGTCACTGGAGGCGGTGGAGCCGATACTCATTGTGCTGGTCCCACCTCCACAGGCAGTACAGGAGGTCTGACTGACTGTGTCTGTGTAGGTACCAATCGGACAGTCAATACAGTCTGAGGTGCCGATGTAGGTTCCAGCTGAGCACTCCTCTGGGAGAACACGTGGTGTTAATTAAAGAACACGTGGTGTTAAAGAAAGGATAAACATCAGTATTATGCGTAGAAACTGAGATACTTGATTATTAGTTTGGCGACGTAAAACAATGAGAAAGAGAAGAAGGCATACTTACTACATAACCCGTCTACTGCTATAAGTGGGGAGGCACACTCCACTGTAGATTCATAGTCCACGTCTGAGGCTTCGTCAAAATCCCAATCTGTGAATGTGAGAGTTAGTGATTATCAACAAGCGATTCAACCATATCAACTGATTATCAACAAGCGATTGATAAACTTAACCATATCAATTGATATCGAGGCGCTAATTTACATACTCACCAGTTCTTCGATAAATATTTAATATTCATGATTTTGGTAAGTTGTGAGTTAATTGGTTTAGCAAGTTTACGAGAAAAACTAAATTAGTTTATTGGAATACTTTGTTTGAAAAAGAAACACGATGATTACATGTACAGTACCCCTTGCATTATATTAATTTAAAACCAGTACTTACTAATCCCAAATGACGTCGATTCTTTAGCGAGCGTTCCCAATAAAGTCAGCAGGATATATATCCTCATTTAATTCCGAAAAGTTTCTTTTCCACTTATCTTATCTATGTATAAGAAGCTTATTTTATACTTACAAAAAACAAGTTTGAAATATCAAAATCTAACAGAAAGCAAGTTTAATTCAGATTATAATGTTAATAAATGGATTTATATCATAAACTAAATGTATAGCGGCAAACTCGAGTATCGGAAGAGAAAATCAATACAATTATTCTCAAAAACGGCATTTGCCAAACTTCAAGCTTCAACTTCAAGCTTCACGGAAAGTTTCACAAGCTCATCACGTGACAGGAAAGAAGCTGCATTAGTGATATTGTACTGGCACTCCTAAAGAACGGGTCCAATGATTGATAAGAGCGATGGACAGATACAATGGATTGGCATGCAATAGATCACTATTCTGACTTTGTGGAAGGATATAAAGAGCTGCTGTCATTTCGTATCCTCCGACATTTTTCTTCTTGAACGAAGAGAACGTAGAATAAACAAAAATGCGGCCGGTTTTCTTTTGTGTATATGGCCGCTCAATTTCCAGATCCGTTATGGCGTATTTTATCATATTTCATATACCCTGGGGACCCCAGTCTTCACTGTTTATAACTATCAGCATGCAGATATGGCGGAGTGACAGGCCGAGCGCCGCCCAGTTAATTCCATATTGAATTGAATATCGTGTATATTTCTATGTAACTATGTATAATGTTTGTTGGGTTTTGGGCATGTTCGGGGAATTTGGCTAAATTGGGCTTAGGAACCGACCGGATTGGGGTTTTGGCTGCCGGACCGGATCTTGCCGGATTTCAATCTCAAATCCGGCAAGCCAGATTTTGCCGGACCTGAACCGGTGGTTTCAGAGTGAAATATAAGGCAGCCGGATCTTGCCGGATTTTGCCGGATCTCGCCGGAAAATTTAAATTCATATTCTTATTTTTATACTTTTGTCATTTAATCATCATAATATTAATTATAAAACGTGATAAAGATAAATACTAGAGCTACTGTTCGTAATAAGGTTCAAGTTTTCCACGATTCAGGCTACCCTGTTCATTATTAGCCGAAAATATTTTTTCGGGTTTTTCGAAGTCCGCACCTACGGCTACCCCTCGATACATAATTCTGGACTCGAGGTTTCCCCCGGTAATTCGATCTCGGAAGGCAGGCCTCCCCTTAGCAACATGAGCTCGGAAGCGGGAGCTCTCGATACAGGAGGTACCTACGTCTCAAGAACGACTCGGACCGAAAATTTTCTAAGTCAAAATCTTTTCTAAGTTTTTCTGAAAACCACTTTTTTCCACGATTCGGCTACCTTGTTCATTATTAGCCGAAAATATTTTTTCGGTTTTTCGAAGTCCGCACATACCCCTCGATACACAATTCTGGACTCGAGGTTTCCCCCGGTAATGTGATCTCGGAAGGCAGGCCTCCCCTTTGCAACACGAGCTCGGAAGCGGGAGCTCCCGATACAGGAGGTACGACTCGGACCGAAAATTTTCTAAGTCAAAATTTTTTCTAAGTTTTTCCGAAAACCACTTTTTTCCACGATTCAGGCTACCCTGTTCATTATTAGCCGAAAATATTTTTTCGGTTTTTCGAAGTCCGCACCTATCCCTCGATACACAATTCTGGACGAGAGGTTTCCCCCGGTAATGTGATCTCGGAAGGCAGGCCTCCCCTTAGCAACATGAGCTCGGAAGAGGGAGCTCTCGATACAGGAGGTACGTCTCGAGAACGACTCGGAACCGAAAATTTTCTAAGTCAAAATTTTTTCTAAGTTTTTCTGAAAACCACTTTTTTCCACGATTCGGCTACCTTGTTCATTATTAGCCGAAAATATTTTTTCGGTTTTTCGAAGTCCGCACCAATCCCTCGATACACAATTCTGGACGAGAGGTTTCCCCCGGTAATGTGATCTCGGAAGGCAGGCCTCCCCTTTGCAACACGAGCTCGGAAGCGGGAGCTCCCGATACAGGAGGTTATACGACTCGGACCGAAAATTTTCTAAGTCAAAATTTTTTCTAAGTTTTTCCGAAAACCACTTTTTTCCACGATTCAGGCTACCCTGTTCATTATTAGCCGAAAATATTTTTTCGGTTTTTCGAAGTCCGCACCTATCCCTCGATACACAATTCTGGACGAGAGGTTTCCCCCGGTAATGTGATCTCGGAAGGCAGGCCTCCCCTTAGCAACACGAGCTAGGAAGCGGGAGCTCCCGATACAGGAGGTACGTCTCGAGAACGAATTGGACCGAAATTTTCTAAGTCAAAATCTTTTCTAAGTTTTTCTGAAAACCACTTTTTTCCACGATTCGGCTACCTTGTTCATTATTAGCCGAAAATTTTTTTTCGGTTTTTCGAAGTCCGCACCTATCCCTCGATACACAATTCTGGACGAGAGGTTTCCCCCGGTAATGTGATCTCGGAAGGCAGGCCTCCCCTTTGCAACACGAGCTAGGAAGTGGTTAAAAAAAACTGAAATCCGGCAAAAATCCGGCAAATTTTTTCCAGCCGGAGCCGGAGCCGGAGCCGGAGCCGGATTTTGAAGCCGGATATCCGGCCGGATCCGGATTCAGCCGGATTTCCGGTCGGTTCCTAATTGGGCCTAAATAAAAATTGGACCATATATGGGCGTGGCTGCCCTGCAGGTACCGTTTGGCGGTTGGGGTCCGGGACCCCCTTCATTTGAACGGACATTAAGATGAAAGCTAGGACCTCGAGCGTTCAATTAATTTCCGTTCAAATAAGGTCCGATAAGGTATATTGAAATGTTAAAGAAGAAGTTTGTGCCAGCTCTTAAAAGAAAGCATGTGCTTGATAGGTGGTTCCCCGCTGCAGCAAAGAGAGTCTTGCGTGGTTGGAGAAGAAGTTCAAGGTGAAGGAGAGGATAATCTCCCGAAATGCAGACTTTTCCTGGCCCCCATAGTCCCCCGACCTCAACCGGCTTCCACCTTTGGGGATATCTCAAGAGTAAAGTCTATAGCAATCCAGGTCCCTAAGACTTAACCGCAGAACTTAAGCAGAATATCAGGAGAGAGGCAAGGAGAATACAGTTGACTGTTGAGCACGGTGCCATGCAGTCTGCAGTAGACAACTGCCTCACCCGAGATTTACATGTGCCCTCCAATAAAGGACGATCATGGTTCGAGCAGATAATAAATTATTGAGTCACATATTATTGTGTTTTATGATTTTTTTTGATATACTTGTCACAATAACAACCAAAAGTTATTTCATTTGTACTCAATTTTACAAAAAAATCAAAAACCGGACACTATTTATGAAACACCCTAGAAAGTAGGAACGAAATGATAAATGTCCCCTCACCCAAAGGCAAAAGAATGAAGTTACGATTAGAGTATTTCTATTATTCCGCGAAATGCTTATTGATACCCTGGGGATCACCCCAATGACCATAAGCATATTATAGAGATTCTACGGAATGACAGGCTGAGCGCCTCCCAATAATGATACCCTGTAGTCTGCACCGGCACGGACAATCACCTATAATCAGATCAATAATCAGATCAACAGCAGCATTTCTTAATGTCATAATGAGATCTAAGTTTCACGTCACAACTTCGTAGTTTTAAGCTGCACATACGGGCATAATTGTAATCTGGAGAACAGAAAAATTTCCCTCAGAGAAGGCTGTATACAAATGGAGTTACTGCCTTTTCTCATGGAAGGTTTTGGGATAACGTGCTAAAGTTTTGTGAGACTTACTGCCTTTCGTGACAGCTAAAACAGTATTTTTATAACGGCTTAATTTGTAAAGAATCTTCTCCTGACAATTTTGGTACCAATTTATCTCACAATTTCGAAAAATTGAATTACGTACTGCCTTCTCTCAGGGAACTTCCATTGGTAGATATCGCGCGTAAAATTTTGAGGTTTACCTGTGGCTGTAATTCTATTGTAAATGAAAACTTCAAATGCAATTTTGTTTAAAATCTATCTTCTTTTACAGTTTACGACATGGAACCTTGTAACTTTGCAACAGTGTTTGTCAATGTGTGCTCATGGGAGCCATGACCATTACGTTATAGCAATTGAATTTAGAAAATGAAGCCGGAAATGGCCGAATACCGGAATACACGCACGAGTACTTTAGTTAAAAGGAAGTGATTAAGGAATGATTAGGAAGTGACAATTAGGTCAAGTTTTATAGCGAATACTTACGAAATCAAGCTAATTTGACTAATAAATGTGAGTTATGACACTGTTATGTTTGCTAATAAAAAAGGTATCTCAAACAGTACCGGTATGGACAACTAGATCTAGAGGAGGGAGGGGAGGGGGGGTCCTAAGTAACAGCAAATAGATGACCAGATAATACCTTATTTACCTGGGGACCCCGGCCCAGGCTATCATGTTCATAAACATAGAGATTAGGCGGAATGACAGGCTGAGCGCCGCCCAGTAATACCCTTATTTGTAGCTGAGTGATCTATAATGCAGTTTCAGAGAATAACACGTCAATTTTAAATGACAGCTTAAACAAACTTGTGCGTCTGGAATTGTTGTGAAATGAACATTGTGAGAGACGGAAGGGGAAAATTAAATCAGGTTAAGACTTTGTCTCCTCTTCAGGCTCAGCTATGTAATGTTGCCTGATTATTGATTATAGGACCGTTCAAAATTAGGGCCGGTAGGTTGCATTTCTTGAGCTCAATATATATTTATATATATTGAGCTCAAGAAATGCAACCTACCGGTTTATAAAGCTATATAAAGCGAGACGATATATATATATTTAGTATAAATACAGCGTGAACCAGAAGTCAGTACTCATACGTTGGGCCTTGTACCTCCGCCGTGTTTTACATTTGAGAGTTCATATTGCTTTACAGATGGCATACTGTACCTACTTGTTCGAGGATTCCGTCGCCAAAGTTTGAAAAACTGAGCTATTATAAAGGCCAACGACCAACGTATGGGTACTGAATTTTGGCCCACCCTACCGAATGACTTCTGATGAGGCTTATAATGCCTGAAAAAACAGTAAAGGGGGTATAATAGCATAAGGAGGTATAATGGCAACGGT